AGCTAGAAAATTTTTGACTTTTAAAAATATCGAAAAAATATCCAAAAATGATCGAAAGTTTCGATTTTTCAAATAATTTTAAGGTTTTTTATAGCTTTCTAGCAATCCAAAACTACAAAAAAAACCATGTAAAAATACTCTATAGCTTCCCCGGCTAGGCATTTCTGGACTCATACAAAAAGGTTAAACGGGAAGCACCTTGAAAGCAAAACCCTAGGTACTAAAAAGTTATCCCACCTTGTCCGTGCGCCTGCTGTTGTTGTTGTCCTTGCTGTTGCTGCGGAGGTTGTTGTTGTTGCTGATGTTGTTGTTGTTGGGGTGGAGGGGCGCGTCCCGCCTCTCTCGCCTCCTTTGGCTTGTCTTCTCCGGGAATTCCCATACTCTAAATCAGTTAATTATCCACAGATAGAACAAGCACTAAAACGGCGGCAACAATAGAGACTTAGAAACAGAACGAGAGAAAGGAAAGACAAAAACAGATCTACAGAACATTGTTTATTTAGGGTTCCAAAAAAGAAGGATTCCCCCTGACGGGGTAGGAGGGGTGGGGGGGTAAAGCTAATTTTTATTCTTCCGCCTATTCGACGGTTTTGCCTTTGTAAAATGTTGGCTTTTTTCATAAATTTATGACGTCTGTTGTACATTTTCAAAAAAAATTGTAATTACTATAAAAAGGTTATTCTTTTTCGAAATATGACCGTACCGAATACCTTTGGAAAAATGATTTCCGCCTACTTCCCCCCCTGTTAACAGGAAAGAGACCCAATTAAAGAACTAAGGAACCAAAGAAAAATGAAAATGAATAGCCAAATCGGCCGGATCGTTGCCCGCCTCGATGCTTCTCGCGTGCGGTTTTTATAGTCGGTTGGTTGTTTGCCGCTGGGGATCTCGAAATCGCGCTGTAAGTGGTTGATCTTCAACAAATTCACGACCCTCCGGTGAATTCCTGACCGTTTGTTTCATTTCGGCCGACGATCACCACTGATTCCGGTGATCGCTGGCTGGCGATGCCCCGTACCATGTATTCTAAGGACACTTTACAGTATCACTGGCAATGCTGAAAAACGATGCACAGACTAATTCTCTATTTTTGGGTTCGAGAGGAAGTAATGGCCCAAAAACTTGGGTTGCTTCGGAAAAACCCGCAGACACGTTGAAATCAAACAGTTTATACACGGTTTTCTTATGTCTCAGTGGGTTCTACCTCCTGGCCCGGGACGCTATTTTTAGCTGCACATTTTTAAGGCGAAAAGCCTGAAGGTTCTGTTCTATTTCGAGCGGGGCAAAAACGGTGCCGAGGAGGAGTTGCTTGGGAAAAACTTCGATATTTTCGCTATTTTCTAGTGATTTTCGCATTTCCGTTCGATATAGCATCAACTACACAAAGAATTTTAATTTGATCTCAAAACAGCGTCACATAAAATCGTTATAGCGAAAACAGGCGCTAGACGTGGGGTTCCCAACTGGGGTACATTAAGCTAGTTTTCGACTATTTCCATATTTTTACAAAATTTTTTTTGAACGCCATTCGAAAGAGCGTCAAAAAATATACGAAGAGTTTTAATTACAACTCAGAATAGTGTATTATAAAATAGGTATAGGCAAAAGATCCCCCCCCCCGCGGGAAATAGAACAGTACCAGACAGCCTGCCTCACTCGCCGTCTAGAACCCAGGCTTTCTGATCCCTTTAAGGAAGATTTTTGCCATCGTTGTACCCAACGATGCAACCCAGATCGATGGGTCCACGCCGCACATTCTCTTGGACAAAGTTTGGACGTACAATGCGTGAATTTCCCAATCAATTCCGCCGTCGATTTCAATCAAGCTGTGCGTCTAAATTCAGGCGTAGTCCACTAAACCCCTTTTGATTTGACATCGCCCCCCATATGAATCCTTTGGGGGCTCTTTTTCCCCGATTTAAAATCTCAACAGTGGTTCGAGGATGATGGGGATCGATGTATCACGTGCCCCGGAGGGCATTACAACATGACACCCTTCGCCATCCGATTTCCCCAGAAAATATTGTGTGATTTCCAGGTATTTCGCAAATATTTGGCGGTTTTCGCAACGAAGGCCATTTGCCCGGACGTCTAGACGAGGATGTTTCGTTGAGGCGAAAAGTGTGCTAAAGGTTATGAAAGTTAATCCATTGGAGATATTGCACATCTCAAAAAATCCAATTCCAAATTAGCCAGGTTTGGTCAGCTGCAGGACGTTTCGGGTGGCGAGATACACTTCATTCGAAAAAAAATTAAAGCAACTTTAGGTGGATTTATTTAGCTTCGATTTAACCTAGTAATGGACCTCGAACCTAGTACTAAAAATTGCGAACCCAGAAGCTGAATTTTATAATTTCTGAAAATTTAACGATACCAAATTTGACTACATTTGACGAAATTTTTCCTGCTCTAAGCTCCGTGAGGGATTCTCACTGACAAACTTTAATAGCATTTTATATCAGGTTGGAACGAAAGTTCTGTCGCCGAGATTTTGGGAGACTGGCTAAATTCGTAGGTAGCTCCATTCTGGAAATGCGACATGTCATTTTGTAGCTCTCGACCTAAATCGTTTCGGTAGGAGGGTCCTGGGTCGCCAAAATCAAGGAGAGCCGAGATACAGGCCCAAGAAGATTTTTCAAAAATTACGCGAAAGTGGTTTTGCAAGTTATCTCTGCATAGAGAGATTTGCATGCGATACCTTTAACGCCAATCGATAGCTCTCGAGGAGTAGATATCGATAGATGTTGAGATGGTCAAAATCGGACACTGGATGGCTGAGATATGGCCCCTTGAAATTTGGCGCATTTCTTAGAACTTTTCCCGATTTTCCATACATTTTGTCAAAATTGACCGGGCGGGTCCAAAAATAAAGCAGCAATTTTCGGCCTCTGCCTACGATATGTATCGGAATGTATGAGATTTTGGGAAAAGTTCTAAGAAATTGGCTTAATTTCAGAGGCCCATATCTCGGCCATCCAGTGTCCAATTTTGATGATCTCAGCATCTACCGATATCTACTCCTCGAGAGCTATCGATTGGCGTTAAAGGTATCGCATGAAAATTGCTCTATGCAGAGATAACTTGCAAAAACACTTTTTGGTAATTTCGTGAAAATTTCTTCGGCCTGTATCTCGGCTCTCCTTGATTTTGGCGACCCAGGACCCTCCTACCGAAACGATTTATCGAGAGCTACAAAATGACATATTGCATGTGCAGAATGGAGCTATCTACGAATTTAGCAAGTCTCCCAAAATCTCGGCGACAGAACTTTCGTTCCAACCTGATAGTGTTTGATCTGCGGAAGCAAGGTTGAAATTTTTATTGAATCTGTTTCTCTCTCTGCTCTCTGGCTTCTCTCACTTTCCTTTCCTTGTCGTGGTTAGCGGGCGTAGCCCGCTAATCGATGTGTTGTGTTTCGTCCAAGACGATTTCCGGTACACAAATCAAAGCAATTAAAACATGCCATTACAACTTTGGATTAGCATTTATTTGGTTAACGATAGTCTTTTTCATCCGCTTCCACTTTTTTCTTCTTGAGACACGTCAGGCAGTTGACCGCACCAACGCTTTCAACGCAACGCTTCTCCTCGGGGTGGCCACAACCGGGCAGCTCGCGATTGACCGCCTACAAGGAAAACAATAGGATAATCGGTACTTTCGCAATATCGGGGGGGGGGGGGGGGGACAAAAGATACAATTTCTTCAAAAAATAAGAGGTAATTTTTCTACAAGGCTTTATATTATTTCTAAAAGCAAAAACTTGGCAAGTTTTATTTTAAAAAAAAAACAAAAATATCGATTACTAAATGTACCCTTTTTCAAAGTTTCTGAATGGCTTTTCACTTGAAATATTTGCAAAAAACAAGCTAAGCTTACGTTTATTGCTTGACTAATCCTGACTCCTAAAGTAACAAAACATACCTCAAGGCATTCAAAAACACGAGGGGCACGTCGAGTGCATCACCTCGATTTCCTACACACAACATTATGTCAAAATTTAGAAACCCCGACACGAAAAATACCGACAGCTAAATCCCGAAAGAACAAAAACCTAACAAGGCTAAAATGCCGACGTCACAGAAGGTCGACAGCCGAAAGGCCGACATCGCAATACCGACATGTGAAAATTCCGACAGGCGAACTTGACAAACGCCGACAGTCTAAATACTGGTACGTCAAAATACCTATATTCTAAATTCCAGACATCGTCCAAATTCCGAGTGTTTTGCATGGATTTGGTTGCCGCTTTTCAATTAGATTTTTACGGGGGATTTTAACGGCCAACATTTTCAATGACGGTATTTTGGAAAATACTATAAATCAATAAATCCTACCTCCTGGCAAATCTTTGTGCTGGGCTGGCCATATTTCGTCTTGCAACCATGGCCACACTGCAGTTTCAGCGCGCACCTAAAAGTTTTTTGTGAAAATGGCCGAAAAACCAACGATGCGCTGCACTTCGGCAAATCGGCATCATCCGTGAAGGAGGGGTATTTGGCCGTGTGCCCGAAGGTCAGCTTGAACTTGAACGATCCGTAGCGCGGACAACTCCTGGAAAATAAGTAAAATTAATTATACACCAGGGTTGAAAAACCGCTTCGCGGCTTTTCAACCCTGGCCCCGTCTAGGCCCTGTGAAAATCCTCAATGCATGCTTCTTCCCGAATTCCAGCATAAAAAAGCGAAGAGTGCGGCCTTTCTTCCTTTTTTATGAGCAGCCTCCACTTCCGGTGTATGGTAATTGATTCCTAACAAAGAGGAAAGCCCAGAATTTCAGAAAAACCTAGTTTTAATGTCGAAAACACCGTATTTTACAAAATCTGATAAGTGTGCAGTCGTTCCCAGGCCATTACGCACCGAATGACGTATCAAACATCCCCCTAGCTTCCATCCTTCTTGAGATACGACTGGAACAACCTGACGGAAGTTGCATGCAAATGCACACACACACACACACACAGGAACTATTTTTTTATATATAGTAGGATATATATATAGTAGGATCTAAAAATGCAAAAGTACCCTAGAGGGATACTGTATATAGGTTTTGTCGGCGTTTTTCACTTGACTCTAAGCTGCAAATTCGCTGAAAATCTATCATTCGTAACCAAGAGGACCGGGCAACTTTGGGTCAAATATCGCCGCATTCTAGCCACGCACTTCCACAACATATGCAAGAATTTATTTTTGAATTTACCACGGAAATTTCTAAAATTTTTTTTGGATGAATAGGACCGAAAATTACTAATAAATCTATTATCGTAAGCTGGAAAAGATCCTATGGTGAAAAAATCACGAAAACGACGATTTCCTGTTTAAGCTCGAAATTTCATAGAGGATAGATAAACCCCAGTCCTATGTAAACAAGAAAAGAATAGCTGAGTTTTATTTGCAGGTTTAGTAATGTTTTTCCAAAGTTCAATTTCGGGACCTCGAAAAAATCCATCGAGGAGCGGGTCGTCGAAAAACTCGCAAAATCATCGGTTTCAAAAAATTATTTAATATGCTTATGCGATGGTGCTGAGCCCGTAGGTATGACCAAACTACTTATGTTGAGGTTTTTGCCATAAGTTTTTAATATTTGAAAATTACCTAATTTCTCCATATTAAATTTCCGTTTCACATAACTTGCTAAACGGAACTTCAAAATTCCTGAAGCTTACAGGCACATGCCTATTACCTACATTAAACCGACACAGCAAGAAAACAGACTTCGTTGCGAAAACCGCCAAATATTTGCGAAATACCTGGAAATCACACAATATTTTCTGGGGAAATCGGATGGCGAAGGGTGTCATGTTGTAATGCCCTCCGGGGCACGTGATACATCGATCCCCATCATCCTCGAACCACTGTTGAGATTTTAAATCGGGAAAAAGAGCCCCCAAAGGATTCATATGGGGGGCGATGTCAAATCAAAAGGGGTTTAGTGGACTACGCCTGAATTTAGACGCACAGCTTGATTAAAACCGAAATGAATTGGTTCTGAATTGGGAAATTCACGCATTGTACGTCCAATTTTTTCCAAGAGAATGTGCGGCGTGGGCCCATCGATCTGGGTTGCATCGTTGGGTACAACGATGGCAAAAATCTTCCTTAAAGGGATCAGAAAGCCTGGGTTCTAGACGGCGTGTGAACAGCGGGGGGGGGGGGCGTCGTTTTTAACTAAACCGTGTTTTTTCGGCTTTCTAATGGGAATTAACTGGCGCATAAAGCAGCTTTTTCAGGGTGGGCTGGTAATGTTCTATTTCCAGCGGGGGGGATTCAGGGTAAGCTACTTCCTTTGCCTATACCGATTTAATTACGCTATTCTGAGTTGTAATTAAAAATTAGATTTTTCTCTTTCGAATGACTTTCAAAAAATTCTTTTATAAAGCGTAAAACATGCTTATAAGGATTTAAAGAGCCTGGGCAGACGAAAAAAATCGGTTATTTCGAAAAAGGTGAGCCAGCGTAAGTGAATAATGGATATTTTTGAGCGTCTCCCGGTATCACAAGTCGAAGACGATTGCCAAGAAGTTGGCATTCTTCGGGTCGGCGTCAAAAGTGTTCCCTTCCACATTAAATTTCGCATGTTTCGCAAAGAAATTGGTCGGAGACGATAGGAAGGCGGCCAGGAACCCTGAAAAATCCAACGCTATTAAAGTGGCAAAACTAGGAAACTTGCTTTTTCGGTAGGCGTTCATACGGTAGAAACGCCGGCTGATCCCGGCATCCTCCATCTGCCCCACGGACAGCCGTTCCAGCAGCCAGGATTGTATCGTTTCCACATCCGTTTCCGCCTCCTCCAACAGTTCCATGCGACCATCATGAACACGTTCGAGTCGACGCTCGAATTCGCGCTGCAAGATGCGGGAGTTGCTTTAAAAATTCGGTCCTTGCAGTGTGATGGGGGGAACTAATTTTTGTTTCCCGCCCATTAGAAATTTTGGTGCTGTTCTATTTCGCAGCCCGGGGAAAAAGCAGTGGGGGGATGGGAAGTTGCGGTGCGCCAAACTACTTCGTTTTTCCATAGCTACTTTAATACGTCATTCTGAGTTGTAACTAAAACCATTCGTATAATTTTTGACGTTTTGACTTCCGAGCCCCTTTAAAGGACTATAGGCTTTCTGAAAAAAAATTTGCTTCCCTTCCAAGTCCCCAATAACATTCCTGTGTTATTTTCTGCATAAATTCCATAACAGTACGTGAATGCCTACCAAAAATAGAGTCAAATCGAAGTCTTGCGCGCCATTTTTACCAGATACCCTCAACATCTGTCCCCTCAATGGTGTCCGTGCCGGGCAAAAAGCCACCTGAAACATTTGCATTGTGCATTTGATCACTTGTGCATAGGAAAGTATCAAAAACTCCTTACATCGATTAGATTTGCGACAGCAGAGACACTAAAGTTGTCAATGTGCGGGAATCCGATTTCTGGCAGTTGTCCCGGTGAAGTCTTCGCTTCACACCAATTCGCCCACATCTCTTCGCACACTACACAATTCCACGGGGCCGCGTTCCCATAGCGCTATAAAATAACGGTTCGAGTGCAGTCTACCCCCCCCAGCCGGCACCCGACTTCTGTATCTCGGCTCCCTGTTCATCTACAGGTGTGCAATGTATACCAAAATGTTCGTCTTGCTCTGGCGAGTATTTTGGTATTCTTTACACACGGGAATCTGTCAAAATCTCGAAAATCATAATCTCGAATTTTTGAGAATCTCGTATTTTCAGAATCTCGAATTTTCAGAACCTCGGATTTACAAAATCTCGAATTTTCAGATCTCGAATTTTCAGAATCTCGTATTTTCAGAATCTCGAATTTTTAGAATTTCGAAATTGCCATGGTTTAATTCAGCATTAAGGTTTCCGGAGCATTGGCATATTTCGAGATTCTAAAAATTCAAGATTCTTAAAATTCGAGCTTTTGAAAATTCGAGCTTCTGATTTTCGAGATTCTGATAGGAATTGTTTACACACCTGTAGATGAACAGCGAGCCAAGATACGGTAGGTGGGGGTCTGCTGGGGGAAGGGGGTAAACTGCACTTAAATCTTAAAAAACATATCATTAGGGAATTCCATATTCCGGCTGATATAAGCACCCCTAACTTCTCATGTTAAAAATTGCATTTGAGATGCGTAAAATTCGAAATGTGCTTCGGTTTAAGCTTTTCCCTGGGACCCAAAAATTAGTAATCCTGGATCGCCTTTAATCGACTTACATTCACGCATTGCTGGCAACGGAGGCGATCGTCACGAGGGCACTAAACAAGATTTTTTTCAGGAGACTATGAAGCGCCTGACAAGGAGATGGTCTCAGCTTGGAATCGAATTTCGATTTAAAAATTTGCACACTTACAGAGCTCGACGAGACAAATCGATTAATTTAACTTTTAGCTGCTGATGCAATAACCACGCCGAGTTATAAGCATTTGAAGTTTTTGCATGGCTTTAGCCGGAGCTTTATAGGCCTTCCCCGGCTGGCCCATCAGCCTTGGTCTGGTGGCCTAGTGGGTTAGTAAGGGGGCGTCTGGGGAATCCAACGAGGGTTCGAACCCGCTCACTATTTTCATTTTTTGCTTTCTGATCCGAAGGTTCCTCCTTGCTTTCTGAAGGTCTCGAATAGCTTTTTATGCATTATTTTGACTCCTCTGATGTGCAGGCAACATAGAACTTCACCGGTAAAAACGTTTCATACTGGGCTCCGACCGCCCGTCGTCCGCCCGATCAAGCGAAAGAACCTTTTTATACTTCTTTTGGTCTCCGTTCATCGTCTCCATGAAAATCACTTACATGGACCATTGGTTGAGCGCCAACTAGTTCTTCGTACTAAATCACTTCCTTCTATCCAAAGCACCAAAGATTATACGCACCGGGCGAAGCTCGAGCTCCTCCATTCCATATCGGTATGTCGTTAGGATTTGCCGAAGTAGCTCGAAATTCGATATGTTCTTCCCCAATGCAAGATAAAGCGTTGCGGTTGCCGAAAACCACCGTAAAAAAGGGCGGATCTAAAAAAAGTTTCGGTTTACATCAATTTTCGCTAGCGAGGGCCTAAAAACCCACGTCGTAAGCCAAGCTTATTTTCACCAAGCGCGGGTCGTCCGGCAACGGCACGGTACAGAACACCTAAAGCAATATTTAATGGGTCTCCAAAATCTGGTCCACGGTCCCCTGCCTTGATTCCTGGCAAAAAAACCAGATGGGACCGGAACGTGACCGCGCCGCATGATCTGTTGCCCCTGTTTGGTCGTGAAAACACTTGAGTTTCACAATTCTGACGCTGTTTCTGGAATTCTTACCGGATTGTGATCAATGATCAGCAATTTTGATCATTCTAGACATTTTAACTATGAAAATTGATCAGAGAATCACAGAGATCGGGAGATCGGGTGCCAGCAAGGCAGTACGACATGTAATCGCCACGCACTCAAAATGTAGTTTTCGCCCCAAGAACTTTTACGATTTTACTCAAATGTTTTACTCAATGTGTTTTCGCAACGAAATCAATTTTCTGGTACTTTTCGACAGTGACCCTTTCGTTTTTTTTTGGTCGGTAGTTTCAATGCCCGCACGCACGAATATTGACTTCCGTGACCCTTTAAATCCCCCTGCAACTTTTGGCCTCGGCTTATATTCATCTGCCAGCCGATTATCCTACCTTATATAATTTTGGTGTGTATCTTTGTGTGTGTGTGTGGATGTCAGTTTCGAGGCCCGATTTGAGGGCCTTCCCGTGCATAAAATGTCCTAATTCTCCGTCACCCGGGGGAATCGACCCTTCTGTTTCCGATGGCGTTCTCAGAATTACGATAAAATACAAGTTTACAAAATTAAAGCCGGTTTTGTTCATTTTTGGGGTTCCTGAAGGCTAATTTGCATAATCTGAAAAATAGAAATTTGCTCATTCTTGCAAGTTGCGCTCGCGTGTGTGGTCGGTTGGGGGGAGTCCGAAGGACCCAAGCTATCGGAAAGTCAGTTTCTCATGCAAGGGCCGCATTCCAGCGCCCAAGGCCCGCGAAGCGGGTTTTGGGCGCTGGTTGTTCTATAATATTAATGCGCCGAGTATGTCAAAATTTTTGCCGTCGCCGAAACTCTATGGCTTATAATTTGTTCTCTACGACGTACAGGGCTCCAGTTTTCAACCGTAGCTAGGTTTTTGGCGGTTCGACGCCCCTTCAAATACAAGCAAAACAAAAACTTTTAGTACAGAGAAACCCGTTTTCCATGGGATGCTTCTCAATTTAAAAGGTATGTTTCTTTCTCGCGCTCTTTCTCTTTCTCTCTGTCTCTTTCTATCTCTATCTCTCTCTCTCACTTGCTCTGTCGCTGCCTCTTTTTGGTACAGGCTTCAGGGAGAAAGGGGATTCAAAAAAAAATATCAGGACCTACGGGCGAGAGACTGAGAGAGAGAGAGCCAATGAGAGAGGGAGGCAAAGAAAAAAAGAAAAAGAGAGAGCCAGAGAAATTCTGGATCTTCAGCAACTCATTTTAAATGCTAAAACAAGCCCACCCGGGAACATAAAAAAGCACCTGCTCCAGACGATTGTCGAACACGAATATCGCATAATTTCCAATCATTACGCGTGATCTTGACACCAATTTAAGGAAGTCGTCGTCGGCGCAGGGAAAATATCTGATGATATTTACCATTTCCGGGGGAGATCGGTTCTTTTATAAGCCCAGATATATTAAGTAAAGTGACCGCAAGTATCCTAACAATGTTTTTGTTCCAATTTTGCTGAATTTCAATAGTAAAAATAATTTAGAAACAGTTTAAAAAAATTATATTCTCGCACGGTTTTTAGCTTTAGGAATAGGAAAAACAGGTCAGAAACACTTCCGCAATTTATGCTTGAAAAATTGGATCCTAAGAATAAAAATACTACTACTTAAACTTTGTTACTGTTAACTTTACTACTGCTTCGTTACTACTAAAATCATTACTTCTAAAAGTCATTACTTCTAAAAACGTTACTTCTAAATGTTGTTGCGTCGGATTATCAGTTTTTCGGCATGTTTGGCTATATTTATGCCGAAAACGACGCTTAGAATTTGAGAAGTAATGACTTTTAGAAGTAAGGTGGGTAGCCCCAAACAATACCTTTCCGGTTCGGTGGGGTGCCGGAGCAGGATGTAGGACGCCGGATACAAGGGACAAGCGGGTCCCGATGGGTTTTCGTGCATGAACTCCCATCCTTCCATATCGCTAGCCAAAAATATCCAAGCGTGCACCCAGAGCTGTAACGTGTCAAAACTTAGTAAACAAGTAAATATTTCGACGTTCGTTTGTGTGCATTCGCCCAACAAAGTACGTTTGTGCGGTTTTCACGATTTTCCGTACGCTTTCGTTGAATACGCATCCATCCTTTTGCTAAAATGCATACTTTACTTCACCCCCCCCCCCCCCCCAGCACGAAGGTCCCAAAGTTTTCGATATTTTAGCTATTTTTCGACATTTTCAATACGCCATTCGATAGAGCATCAAAAAATATACTAATCATCTTAATTTTACCCTAACTTAGTACTATATAAAATAGTTACGGGCAAAACAAAATTTAAACGCGATTTTCTTATGGGCACCAGAGGAGCAAAGCCGTTTTCGACATGTTCGACATTTTTACAAAATTTTTTTAACGCCACTCGATAGAACGTCAAAAAATATACTAAGAGTTTTAATACAACCCAAAATAATGTAAAACAAATTCGTTATGGCAAAAACAAGCAAAATTCGAATAACCGCTCAAACACTATTGTAATTGTATAAATTTTAATATCGACTTTTTCGTAATTCCCGGCCAGGGGGATGGTAGCTGGGACCTAGGGCTACCGATTGGTGGGCTTAAAAAATTTTGGGATCTTCCGGCTGGGGGGGGGGGGTCAAGTAAACTCTTACCGAAAAAATAGCTTTTGGAAAAGATTCGTCGTTTTTGATATGCCAAGGAGACCTTCTAGTAAATCCATGAAAAACCACAATCCGCGCATTAATAGGAATTGTGGTTGAGGAGCAGCGGCTGGGGAGTATCCTACTCTGACCAAAAATTATCTTACCTTATCATCATCATCAGTGCCAACGAACCCGGACTTTGGGGTGAGGCAATCGACCATCAGTCTACGAATTTTCCGCGGGAACAGGCCTCGTTGGTTGATGAAGTTTCTGAACCTATCGTGGAGAAGGAGGGCGGCGGCTAACTTTGATGGTCGTAGCGCTAGTGCAAGCGTTTGTTTGAATTGCTTTTAACGTTTCTTAAGCATAAAAATTTTACTATCGTTATTAAAATTTTAATCTTAGACAACATGACAAAAATCACGACTCTTTCCGACTTTTTGTAAAATTTGATGATACTTTAAGTGGAAAAACTAAGAAACTTTGAACACGGTATCCCTTTAGCCGTGACCAAATGGCACAATCGAGAACTTGCAATTCTCGGCTAAATTCCCCAACTAGGCGAAGTGCAGGGCTGAAATGCCGCAAAGCTGTTTTTAAACCCCGTTGCTGAATTCTTTCAATTTTAGCCTTTTTTGAACGTTCTGCTTTGAAAGTGCTACCTGATCGGCCTGTTGACGCGTTGCAAACTGAGCAAGTCGCAGAAGCCCAGTTGATTCGTGACGGCGGAGAGGAGCGCATCTGGGAGATGGCCAGCCGGGAACATCGCGACGTTCTTATGGATAAAAGGTTGCCTTTGATATAAAATAACGAACCAAAAAAAAACGGGGTCCTAAAAGGACTCGGATGAATGAGGGGTTTTATTCTAAAAGGACAGATGTGCAGCCAATGACCTCGGATCAACAATGGCCGAGCATTAATGAGAAGGGCCAACTCGTATCTGAAAAAATTCCCGTTTGTGTATACTGTAAAGTGTTATAAGAAAGTTTATACCGAGGCTTTCTCTCCAATCGGTTCGCTTTCTCCAACACCTTCACTTCATTAGAAAAAATGTCTTTTTCCTGGTGGAATCCGATTTCTTCTACCCGCAAGTGTGGTTTCAAATCTAGAACACCTAAAGAAGACCAACAACGTATATTCCTGGTATTTCCAAACATTTCCGGCTACAAAAGCAAAAAGCAAAAGATTGACCTCGGGCCGGGACCGAACCCGGCTTTTTTCCTGATAAATCAAAGTTAAAGGGCTGGAGGAAGATGGGCCGGGCGTCCGTCGGGGTGACGGACCGCCGCGGCGCTACCATCGACACTTTCCCTCGCGTAAGCGCCCCCAAAACCCCCTCTCTCGTTTGAAGAAACCAGTTTATTGGCTATAACTTTTTCATTTAGCAATGTTTTCAACTAAAAATTTCCTGAAACCAATGACTTGGTGATACGCATCGATGGTAAAAATTTGAGCTGGATTGGATAGAAGGCGGCCAAGTTTTGGGCGATTCGGGGTTTTCGGACACTGTTTTGGCTGAAAAAGCGGCGCATAGACAGCAAAACGCCTCTAGAAAGTTGCAAAGTACGTTGCTATCCTTTAGCAAGGTTTTCTACAACATTTTTTAGCCATTATCACCATTAAATTGCTTTATTTCTAATGGCTTGTTTTGTACAGGTGGCAATGCGCCCTAGGGTATGTGGGGGCCCTCCGCCGCCCCTCTCCACTCGACTCTCTGGTGTACTGGCTAGCGCATCGGACTGCGGGGCGGACCATCCCTGGTTCGACCCCCGTCCGGTGCGACCCTCTTTGCTCTTTCATCGATTCCATCTTTCTCCAGCCCTTTAAGCCAACTCTAATTTTTGTTTTACCGGTTTAACAAGGAGGCCCTAGTTGTTCAACTTCAAGCCTGCGGCGCAAGTTTGTGAGGCTAGCTTCCTTCTTAAGCCTGCGGCGCAGACTTGGGTTTCGACGCTATTCCTTGGACTGCGGCACAAGCTTGAGACGGTTGCTTCATCCTTAAGCCTGCGGCGCTAGTTTGCGCGGCTAGCTGCGTTCTAAGGTCTGCGGCGTGAAATTGACAAAGCTTCTTCTTTCCTAAGCCAGCGGCGCATGCTTGAGGGGTCCAGCTAAATGTGAGCCCGCAGCGCGACTTTGAAGGCCTTGCTTCGTCATAAAGCGTGTGGCGCAAGTTTGAGCGGCTAGCTCCTTCTTTAAGCCTGCGGCGCAATCTTGAGAGGTACCATTTATTCAAGTCCATTCGATGTACATAGAGCGACGCAATATCAATGAAAGAATGAAATTCAATAAGAAAGTATTTTGGCATCTGTTTCCTTGGAGTAGACAGTAGAGCCGTCCGCTACCACTTCTGCCTCTGGCCCTTCTTGCGGTGCTTTCGCTGCGCTGTCTTGTCCTGTCTAACGATCGACAGACCCTGAAATCGTGACTTTGAAGCAAAATACGGTTCTTTCGCATTGTCGGGGGGCGCAAAATTTTTTCACATAAGCCGGGAAATGCCTAGTAACTTAACGGGGACTTAGTTAATAGTGTTCTTACTGTATCGTGTTGTCACTCAACTTTGAGTTTTGATTCGCGACCAAGTGCATCCGGTGCAGAATTTTTCGCTGATTCCGAATCCGTTTTCCAAATGTGCTGCGGACGGTTATTTTGAAAGTTCTGCGGAAATTATGGTAGGGTTTTTCACCAAAAACAAGATATCGCTATAGTTTTCGTTTTCCGTGACCAATTTCAACGTTAAACTTGGCTAGATATTGGCTCGACAAGCATTTTAAAGGTCAAAACAAGTTTTTGAGCAAAAATTAGATGCGTTATGCAAAAAGCAAAAGAAGTAATGCGGGGCGGGGGTTCGAACCGCCGCCCTGCCCTCGGCAAGCGAGCACTTTGCCAATGCACCATGGTGCCAGCCAGGCGGCGGGTTGTGAGAGCGCAGTTTAGGGCGCCTGAGAACCAAAGAACCAAGCAGGGATTTTTCGCATAATCTTTAATTTTCTGTGGTTTATGGACCTGTTTAGCGATGATTTTTTGCAGTTTTATTTACGCGAAAACTGCCCTACATTTGACATGGCCCGGATCACTTCATCGGCCAACTCTGTGGTATATGCGGTGACGACGGCCTGGATGTCGTCGTAGCTGTGGCCCTGGGCGCACAACAGCTCGGCCCACCATTTAGCGAATCGTTCGATCGACCCGTCTGTGTCCGGGGGGAACACGGCGGGCAGGGCGCGACGGCCGAGCGACATGGAGATGATCACCCGCATCAGCTGATCGCTCGACAATATCGAAACCTTGGTGAATCGCTCGACCGTTTCGAGCGCTTGAAGGAGCTGCCCCATCGTATCCGAGGCGACGGCGGCGGCGATCCGACGGCACCAGGCGGTAGCCATGTCGAGGGTGATCGTCTTCTTGCTGATGGCAGTTTTCATGACGGTGGCCTCGTCGCGGAGTAATGCTTCCCAGGTTTTGTCGCCTGACCTGAGGCAAAAGTACTGGTACTGGACTGTTAGCGGGGGGGGTTTGATTTTTAGCAGGAGGAAAAATCACCTTGTGTTTTTTCCACCTGCTGAGGATATATTATGTATTTTTAGTTGTTTTTACAGTTTACAATTTTTTTGTCATTTTTCATAAATTTTCGATAATTTTTGTCATTTTTTATATTGTTTTGACATCTAAAAACAATGTAAAATGCCATAAAAATGGCTTCCATTTTGCTATAGCGCCGTAGAGAAGCACAGGTAAGTTTTAGTCCCTATACCTGTTAAACGCACCTTGTCGCCGGGTTTTGTAGCATTGCCGCCATCCCGATCATGATCAGCAGCGGCCGGCCAAACTCGACAGGTATTTTCGCGAGATCGTCGTCATCGGAGCCCGGGTACAGCACGACGTCCTTGACGTCAACAGCGTCGTCGTCGACTTGCTCCTCCACGACGTATTCGACCTCCACGAAGCGGCAATTCCATCGACACTGTGACATGCAGTAAACGACCAGGCAGAACAGCCCTAGAAATTGCGTTATCGGATTAATAGAGAAACGTAAGGTCGGAAAAAACCTTATTCGAGCGGCTCGCAGGAGCGTCCGATTTTTAACGATTTTGATATCAATGAAATGACCTCGAGGAGGCGAGGAGATGTACTATCTTTTCGGTTGCGCAAGCGCCAGAAAACGCGCGAAAACTTTGTAAATTGTGATTTTGCAAGCCTTTTAATCAAGATAATCCTGTATTTTTTTGGTTAAATAAAATTATATTTTAACCAGAAAAACTACTTAAAAACTTCAAAACACGGTTTTGAAGAAGTACAAATTGATTTAAAAAATCGGTCATTTTTATTGAAGACGATATTTTTTGATAGTTTTTGCTCAGGTTTGTAAAGTTTTACGTTAAGGAAACACTTCTACTAGTTATATTTAAAAAAATCTGGATCCTAAAAAAGTGGCGCTCCCCCCGAGAATGCGAAAAATCCAAAATCTCTCGAAATCTGGTTTTATAGATACCGGAATCACAAAAATTGGCTAAACCTCAGATAACGCCCCCCGGCCGACCCCCACCTGCCGTATCTTGGCTCACTGTTCATCTACAGTGTGTAAAGTATACTAAAATGTCCGCCTTGCTCTGGCGAGTATTTTCGTATACTTTACACACCTGTAAATGAACAGGGAGCCGAGGTACAAAAGTTGGGTGCCCGCTGGGGGGGACAGAAGCAGGGTTGGCCATTTTTGACCCGGGTCGGACCCGGACCCGGACCCGGACCCGGACCCGGACCCGGACCCGGACCCACCCGGACCCGATCAAATTTGCATGGGTCCGGGTCCGGGTGGGTCCGGGTCGGACCCGTGGCCGGAAGCTGCTCAGATGAATACAATTCTATACGGTTAATTTAGTATTCAAATTTCTTCAGCAAAATAGTACACAAAGCAGTTATAATCTTTTATCCAGTATGAAAGAAGTAAATTAGACGATCCGAGGCATCAAACAAGCAACAAATCGAAAATCGTCTGAATGATTTGCAAAGAATACAGCGATTATAAATTTATTTTTTCGATTATCATTCTGATGCTCATTTGAATCCTAAATTAACCGCTCGGAATCAGATTAATATGAGCAACTTCCGGCCACGGGTCCGACCCGGACCCGGACCCGGACCTGGACCCGGACCCGGACCCATGCAAATTTGATCGGGTCCGGACCCGGACCCGGACCCCCCGGGTCCGGACCGGGTCCGGGTCCGGGTCAAAAAAGACCAACCCTGGACAGAAGTTCAGCCATATCTGTAAATCTGGTTCGATCGATACCGGAATCACAAAAATTGGACACTTCAACGCTTCCCCAGACACTAACCAATAACGGTCCCCGAGACGATGATGCGAAACATGACATCGGCGGTCTTCGCCGGGTCTCGGATCTGAACGGGCGGGCGCATCATGTCAATGGCGTTGCCGTGCCTAAAGTGCGAATGGTTCGCGTTTCTTTGCACCAGTGGTAGGGCGGGCGTATTCTTACTAGACGAAAGACAAAAACCAACACGAATACGTTCACCACCAACCGGTAAGGCCAGATAACCCCCGCCGGCCCCCAACTTTTGTATCTCGACTCCCTGTTCATCTACAGGTGTGTAAAGTATACCAAAATGTTTGTCATGCACTGGCGAGTATTTTGGTAGACTTTACACACCTGTAGATGAACAGGGAGCCGAGATACAAAATTTGGGGGCCGGCCGGGGGGGCTTATCTGGAGTTCAGCCCACCAACCAATATTTCTCGGCCATCGCTGAGTGGATGGCGAGGATGAAGAGCAGCAGGGCCAGCATGCGGTAGAACGAAATACCGTATTATCGCGGAATATGGCCGCTAGACGCCGATTTCTCGACGGGAAAAGGGAAAGAATGTGCGTTTTTTAGATGACAAATCGGAAATTGTCCGATGCAAATGGTGGCTCCATTGCTTTTGTGCACGCAAATTGAGTTTGTGAGGCCTTTGCCACAAACTTCGAAAGTGCTTATTTGTTCCATCAAATATGTAATTTGAATTTCTACTTTTACCTAATAACGTTACACCGAAAAATTCCGAAAATCTACTATAATAATTTTGCTGTGGTATGCTTAGGCTTCGGCTGTCCGTCGCGTCCCGAATTCAACTCAAAGGGGAAAAGAGCTAGAGCTTAGCTCTCTTCAGATTCGGATAGAGCATGGTCAGAAACCCCCAAACTGATAAAAAGTTATGAAAAAGTTCTTGTTTAAATTATTAAACTTACCTTTGAAAGTGGCGTCTTGGGAACGGAATGACCCGAGTTTGGACATAGTGAGCCAGGTCGCGCGCGTTTCGGCGAGGGGTAAGGTCGCGAAGCGACTGTAATCGGCTGGACATTAAATACCCTTGGAACGTTGTCCGGGCGTCCCCGGGGGTGCGGGACAGGGGCGTAGCTGGCCCCAAGTTTCGGGGAGGGGCAGCGACATTTCGGAGGGGGGCAGCAAGAAAATTTGTTCGAAATTTAAGCGCCGCAGGCGAAAAATGTTGCTAAAATAGCAGCGCCGCAGGCAAAAAGGTTAATAAAAAGTAATAAAAATAGCGCCGCAGGCGAAAAAATTTTCAAGATGAAAAAAATCATAAGGGGGGACCCTTACGTTTTTTCGGGCCCGCCCGATTTCGGGGGGGGGGGGAGCCTGGCCCCGCTGCCCCCCCCCCTTCTACGCGCCTGGTGCGGGACTGACGGGGGACTCCTATCGACGTAATTAATATTAAGCATTCGTAACTTACTTTCCAAGGGTTCTCTTCATTAGTTCTCTATGAGTTGTTATTATTATTGACAGCGATTTATTGACAGCGATTTATTGACAGCGATTTATTGAAGATTGGTGGCCACACTAATTGCGAAAAAACACAGCAACAGCACGGAAGGAACGGAGCTGCTGAAAGTGCCGCTTTAAGTCTCGTCATTCAGCTACTACGCAAATGGATAGGAAAACAAGAAAAAAAAGTTTCACAAGAAAAGCTGTTTTGAAAAAGGGCAATATCCAACATCAAAAAAGCAGTTTAATTGAACAAGTAGAAAGTCCTATATTCACAATCAGTCCAAAAATAATTTTGGAGAATATCACGTGAAGCGGCCATAACGCCTTCTAGGGGACAAGACTGCAAGGTGAAGTTGCCAGTCGGGACCTTCGCATCTGCGCAATGCCAATCCTGATGGACGATGAGTAGGCTGCCGCTAAATGCATTCGGACCGACGAGACCGAGAGGGGCGAAATAGCGGTCCCAACAGCCGCTGGCTGTGGCGGAGTTAAGCGACAGTCTGAAATGCAAAAACGGCTGCACGCATATAAGAATATGTAAAATTAGCTATTTTCAACGTTCGAATTTTTGCAAAATTTTCGGGAGCCCTCTTTGTTAAGAGACAATTAACATACACCGGAAGTACTTAATGCCCTATAAAAATATTTATCGCCTGCATCCAAACTTTTCTTAGTTTGTTAACTTTCTTGTTAGCTTTGTTAACTTTCCTTAATATTTCAACTACAGTCCCAGAAGCCTGCCTCCAAATAGGGTCCGTGCGCCCCAACTATGAGCTGGGTACTTTGTTCTATTCCGAATCGAGCGCGCGCGTTGGCAGGTTTATATTTGCACTTCATGTAGAAAAGCCCTGTATCTCTAAGCTAGGTTATCGGTCATAATCGGAAAAACCGAGCATTTCAAAATATTGAGCCTTTTGTGATGCGCGGCCGAACTGATGAAAACAGAACCCGAGGCCAGCATTCGATACTTTTGTTCTTAAAAAAGAAAACGACCTTGGCTGCGATAGACAAAATTGACGAAGAAGTGCGTCATAAGCTAACGAATGCCGGCATTTTGCAAAACACCCATTACTGCAAGTTATTGGAGGAGTTTTTGACCAAAATTGGCGAAATTCGGACTGCTGGGTAGTTTCATGCATAATTAAATTTCAAAGCCATTATTTTCGTATTTGACTATCTGGACAGCTGCTTTCAAACAATATTTAGCAATTCCTATGATTCTTAAGCAGAGTGGGGAGCTCCGCTAAGAATACAATCGATTTTATCACCCGAACCGGAGGCCTCGAAAAGTTGCGTCGTACGGACCCTATTTGGAGGCAGGCTTCTGGGGCTGTAGTTCAAAGATTACGGCCCCATCTTAAAAATCCTTCGAGGATATATTGAGTCTACTCTTGATCTTTAGTTTTGTTACTAAGAAAAGTTTGGATGCAGCCGCTAAATATTTTTATAGGGCATTAAGTACAGGGTGTTCCAAAAGTTCTGGCAAAATGTTTTTGGTTGTAAAATGGCTCCGAAATCTTGGAAGCCAATGAAACTGTTGTACCTTATTGGTTACGATCCACACTTCAAGGTGGCAAAAATCGGTTTTTAAAAAAATCACTTTTGAATTTGGTAGGGGGTATAATATCTCTGATTCAAAATGGCTACGGCACGGCCCCTTTTGCTGACATATCACTCCGGAGCTTTCCAGCCATGCTTCCGATTCGTATCATATTTGAATAATCGGTAGTTCGGCGCACCACCTACGTTATCCATAGTCAGAAAAAAAAATTATTACCACGGATGCGCAAGTCAGCGCGCGTTTAACTTCTGGGTAAAAACAGCCTTCGCCCAAATCCGAAGTTTGCCAGTTTTTCTTGCGATCCAAATTGGTATGCATGAGGGCCGGGCCGCTTACATAAGCCTAGGCATAATACATCTGGGCTAGTGTTCTCATAAAACACCACTTAAAACGATCCAACTGTTTTTCTGATTTTTTTAAAATAGCCAAACATTCGATAAACGCACGGCACGCACCGAATTCTCCAGTTGGGCTTGATTTGTCAAGTGTTTGGGAAAAAATTATTTGTGTATTTGGCATGCTTTTGGTTTTCCCGATTGCCTGGCATCAGTAGCAAAAGCGACCAACAACTCACGTTTCGGTCCTGAAGTGAAATCGCGGTGAAAAGTTAGCCCCTGCTTACAACATAGGTTACAAAAACTGATTGTAAATCGATTGGTGCTCGTCATTTTATCGATCAACCCTAACTTTTTTTGGCTAATTCGTCACATTACCGTTAGCTAAACATGAGAACTAACCCATAAGGGTGACAGGAAAGCAGGAGTGCAAGCCATAGCATTTTGCCAGAACTTTTGGAACACCCTGTATGTATACACTTATTTTGGGCCACCCTGTATAATGAGTAATGGAGCAGACGGGGCGAGGGTTGAAAAGTTGCGAAGCGGCTTTTCAACCCCGCTTTTTAATTAAGATTTATATTGTTTCGGAACAAGCTACGGCGGGGATTCGTTGTCGGAAAAACAGCTTCCGCGGGGCATGGGATCGTCACAAAAACCTGTTAGGTCAAAACCTTTGAAAAAAGCGTTGCGTGTCGATGGTTTAAAAGGCCGACTCGACTCGACCAACCTTTTTAACCAGTTTTTTGAATGTTTTAAAATTTTTGTATTTTTTTAAAGATAGACATAGAGGTAGTAACTGGCTTTGTGGGGTACGAATGGGGCTAATGCTGATGTGCGGGGCCCATAATGACAGCCTGAGACCCTAGATTGTGGGTTGGTAACGGCACTATTGGGGAGAGGACCCAAACAAAGTAGGTTTGTTTTTACCGTGCGCACCGGTAAGATCCCTTTACCTGCCGGCAAAGTTGTCAACAACTCACCTTAAAGCGTTTGCCAGATCCTCTTCTTTGTCTTGTAGAAGCTGTTTTGACTTCGCCACACCCGCGCAAAACCCTCGGTCCGAGTAATTAAAACGGTAGATATGAACCGTCCATCCGGCAGTGTCCTTTACACAGTAGTAGGTGCGGTTCGATCCCTGGGTGACATATTGAGCGCCAGGCTTCAAAGAACCCGGGTGTGCCACAGTTTGGTACTCGTATCTGAAAAACCCGTGTTGCAAAATTAGTTTGTTCGAGGTAATAAGTAATAAAGTAATAAGAATATCTCTATCTCACTCACTGACTCAATCACGCCCTGACCGACTCACCCAATCAGGCCCGTAGGAGGGGGGGCAGGGGCCCTGCCCCCCCGAAATCGGTCGAGGTCTGAAAAATTCATAAGGGGGACCCTTATGATTTTTAGTTACAAAAATTTTTCTGCCTGCGGCGCTGTTTATTACTGTTTCTCAAACAGTTTTTACTTATATGCGCCTATTTTTCTAAACTTTTGCCTGCGGCGCTGGTTTTTCATTGGTGAATCAATTGTTCATAAAAAATTTTCGCCTGCGGCGCGTTTTCTGCCTTGTTTTCACACGAATTTGAGTGTAGAGAACGCTGTTTTGCTATTTTTTTTGCCTGCGGCGCTATTATTGACGCGATTTTCGGATGTTTTAAAAGTGGCGACCGGGGGCGCCAAAATTTTTGGGCCCCCGAAATTTCGGTTCCGCTACGGGCCTGCACACAATCAATCACCATTCTGACTCACACTGACCCATTCTGCTTACTGTTTCAGTCCCGATGTTTCAAAAGCTTGTTGCACAACAGCTGCAGCTGCTTCGGCAGTGGCTGGTATCAGTGACCACAGCTGATTTTTTGCCCGCTCATGCTGGCCAAGTGGCCACGCGGTCTCCTAAAATTTAGGACCTAAACAGCCAAGAGTCGGGTTCGCGATTTTCTCATTACCCGCGCGCTTTTATTGTGCGCGGAGCCTGTTTCGTCTTTTGCTTTAAAAGACCGTTTGCGAGCCACCCAAAGAAGGCTTGGCACAGTTTTTTTCGACCCCGGTGTTTTGACGGCATCGGTTACCATCGGCAAAACAGAAAAAATCTTATTGTCAGCAATAATGGCTAGTGCTGGAAGCTGTTAGAAAACTTTTAGGCTTTTTAGACTTTACTGCGCCCTTAAAATAAGATTTTTTTTATTTCGTTTTTATACTCGGAGGTGATTGCCAGACCAAACAGGGAATCAAAAATGGTCCTTGGCAATCGTTCAATGCAATATCAAAGAAGTTGATCTATTGCCACACCAAGCTAGGCTGAATGACGCTTGAGCAACGATATGACATACGGCATCATGGATTTTTATGAGATAAAAAGCGCAAAGCGTAGCCGCTGCGCATGTTTTTCGAAGTATTGACGTTACGAGGAAATAGGCGCGTAGGGGGGGGGAGCAGTTATGTTTACAATGAGGTTCTACAATCTGAACTTTCGAACTCTTTTTTGTGAAGTAGCCAACCTCCGTTTTTTCCGCCCAGTCAGCCGCATGGCGAGTAATTTCTGTTATGATGGAAGCCAGTTCTTTTCGCTTTGCCTCAATGCGGAACGGATTGCCGTCCTCGGTGATGTTGAGGCAGGCACCTCCATACAATATCTAAAATACAAACGCATTGAAAATTAAACGATCTAATAACAATGTTGTTATTGGACTTTGCATCGGTTTGCAGCGACTTCTGGCTGACTTGCATCCTACGTTCGCTTAATATCGGGGATGACTTTGCGTTACAAAAATTTTTGAAATCAACGGTTATTTCACTAATTTTAAGCAGAAAAATCTCTAGGGGTAAAGAAGGCTTGCCGCTTCATTTTCACTTAATATTCGAAGGGTCGATTCCGACGAAAATCATGAAAAACGGATAATAAAGTTTATTTTTGTTGTATCTCGAAGATTACTGTAGCTGGCTAGCCATAACTCAGGATTGTGATTATTTAGGGTCTGATACACCTCTGGTCCAATTTTGGGACAGATCGGATGTAATACGGCAAAATGCCGGATGGATGCTTTTTTATGGGACACCCTGTACTGTAGCAGGTCGCTGGAAAATAATGAGAGACGGACATCTATCAAAAAAATGCGCAATAGCTAATTTGTCACCAACCAACGATTTTATCGTTTGCTCGATTTGTAGGAGTTCCATATCCAGAGCGACCCTTGATCCGTCGGCTTCTTCATAGACCGCAGAGAGGATGCATCTGAACGATATTGCTCTACCAAATTCCGTCTTATGTGAAACCCTATATCAGGTTCGAAAGAAAGTAATGGCACAAAATCTTTGAATGGCCTTAAATTCGCTAAAATATGTTTAATTTTAAAGGGGTGCGGAAGTGTAATAAGCCCTTTTGGGAGGAGTCTTATACAGGGTGTCCCAACCCCCCCCCCCCCCTCTAGCGGCGAGCGGTCGTGTCCGATTTTTATCGTTTAGGTATCTATTGAAAGCTCTTGAAAAGGCGAAAAAACAAAGAGGGTTCATTTTCTTTTTATCTATTTTTATTAGCAGATTTTACGTCCAAAAACCATGAAAACGGCAGATTACGCGAGATCTGCATGCTAATCGCGAAATTCCTATTGAAAATCTACCTTTTTTTAAAACCGTTGAATATCCAGCGTATAAAAATAAATCTCATAAAATAAATCCCGCTTGTTTTCTCGCCTTTCCGAGAGCTTTCGATTGGTATAAAAATAATTCCGATCCGATCCGATTGACGGCCTCTAGAGGGGGGGGGGAGGTTGGGACACCCTGTGTTTCTGAAAAATTGCAAGCGGCCGCAACGGTAGGAGAGAGAGCCTCTGGCTCTTTCGATCCTTGCGCGATTTCTTTGTGAAAACACGGTAATGCGCAAATTGCCAGAAATCCAAGGCTCCCCAAAAGGATTCCCTGTCACGATTTCGAAAATCACCATTTCGAAAATCACCATTTCGAAAATCACCATTTCGAAAAATCACGATTTCGCAAGACACCATTTCGAAAGTCACGATTTCGAAAAGACACCATTTCGAAAAGACACCATTTCGAAAATCACCATTTCGAAAAGTCACGATTTCGAAAAACACCATTTCGAAAAACACCATTTCGAAAAAAATCCCCAGTTCGAAAAGACCCGGTCTTCAAACAGGCATAAAAATTGCAGTGTCAAAAAACCACGGTTTTTCTCGGATATGACTAGTGATGTAATAGAAATTGTTTTAGTGGTGTCTATAATGAAATTAATCATATCTCCAGTGGAAAAATAGACCCCCGAACCTCAAAACAGCCAACGTAAATCATTTTTTTCTGCGGCTGGGAAATGGGCTATTGCTAAATCCTGTGTTTCCCAAATGGTAATTTTCGAAATGCTGATTTTCGAAATGGTGTCTTTTTCGAAATGGTGTCTTTTCGAAATGGTGACTTTCGAAATGGTGTCTTTCGAAATCGTGATTTTTCGAAATGGTGATTTTCGAAATGGTTATTTTCGAAATGGTGATTTTCGAAATCGTGACCGCCAACCCCCCAAAAGGCTTATGTTTGGCACTTCCACGCCCCTCTAAAGGGATCTAGAAAGAAAGGAGAGAAACAAGGCGCCTGGCCATCTTTCTCCAGTCCTTTTAACAGTTTATGTTAGGTTGAACCGAGGTTCATGCAATATTTTTCATCCTATTTATACTTCCTTCAAACGGTTTAGAGAGAAAATGTTTTAGCGATAGGAATATGTAAAAACAACTTCTCTATTTGATCCTTGGGATGGAATCACAGGTCTATTCTTCTGGGATCTTTCAGTTTGATTTACAAGAAAATGGTAAATGACCTCGGCCCGCCGTTCAAAAATCAGTTCCGATTTACTTTTTTTTGCATATTTAGGCATTTCACTAAGAGCTCAAACTTATCATCTTGGTAGTGAATCGTTTCTATCGTAACTTTATGGCACTTCTGAAAGAGGTCAAAAATAGTGTCTATGTTTGTGCGTTTGCATGCAACTTCCGTCAGGTTGCTCGGAAAATATCACGAGAAGGAAAGAGGCTAAAGGCATGTACAGGGTGTCCCAAAAAAAGTACCTCCCCCCCTCTAGCGTACCGCAGTCGTGTCCGAGTTTGATGAATTAGGTATCAATCGAAAGCTCTCGAAAAGGCGAGAAAACAAGCGCTTTTCATTTTCTAGATTACGTGATTTCATTGTGTACCTTTATTACCAAAAACCGTTAAAGAAGCTGATTTATGGGAGGTCCGCATGCTAATTGCGATTTTGCCGGAGAAGAACCACGCGTTTTCCAGCAAAATGTTTAATAACGGTAAAATTCTAAACATTTTAAGAAAACGGACCCGGTTGTTTTCTCGCCTTTTCAAGGGCTTTCGAATAGTGTAGGGACCATCCCGATCCGAGCTGCCTCCGGACCGCTAAAGGGGGTACTTTTTTGGGACACCCTGTATGATACGGTATGCTTAACGATCTCCAGATTACTGCACAAAATTTGATTTCTGAAAAGTGCTGTTTTCGACATTATAGTCAAATTTTTCTCAAAATTCCCGATCGCCCCTCTAACTAGGAATCGATTTGAATACGCCCGAAGTGGGGGGAGGCTATATAAACGGACAAAAAAAGGTATTTTTCCCCACGTTTTTGCCATCCTGATTCCAGAAGTGCTACGCAAAGTAAAAGCTGCCATTGTTCTCCCAAAGCCGCGAAGCGGTTTTTGAACCCCGGTTTGATGTAAAAGGCTTACGCTGGCTGCATCAGATCATCATATTCACCTAAATTTAAATATTTTTTGGGTACAAGCAGGTTACCCTTCATCAGCTCGATCAGCTTTTCGAAGGTGTCAGGCTGTGCTAAATTATATAAATATCTATTTGTCGGTTGGGGTTATTTGCTTTGTCACAGATAATAAGAACAATGGTTTTATAGAACGTAACAGTCATCCTAAAAAGTTTTTAACCGTGCATAACAGGCTAATACGTAAGGGAAGTTTAGTTTAAAAGACCTTCCGCGGCTCGCCCGACAGTTTTTACAGTGTTTTCGACCCTGTTTTTTACTTCATCTACAAGAGCATGATCGAATTAGTAGGGTGGCACGGTTTTGAGATTTTAAAAAGTTTATGTTTGGTTGATTTAGTTTTGCGAAGCACGTAAATGGCCGGAACACAGGTATATTGCGTAGCAAAAACAGCTTTTTTGGCAGTTTTCGATTTGATGGGTGTTCGGCCGCCTCATAGCACTAGCATAGCAAGATGCGCATTTTTTGCATGGATTCACCTTTTATCAGGCGGCCAAACACCCATTCGCTGGAATATTCTATTCGTTACGCTCAAAATACTCACGGCCTAATCCCAAAATTTCAGCTAATTCTACAGGATAGTTTTCAAGATAATTTTTTAATGTTTGCCACTTTAGAGATAAATTCAACCAGAAAAATAATTTTTTTTAATCTCAAAAATGGTGCACCCTACTAAACCGATCAGGTTCAGATCACGTAGAAAAAACAGGGTCCAAAAACACTGTACCAAGTCTTGTTCGGATTACCCATGGACAGCCTTTTACGGTTCGCAAAACCTATTCGAGAACGTTTGCGAGCCATCCGAACAAAGCTTACAAGGGAAGGTTGTTTGGGTCAGGTGTCAAATCTTTATGAAAATTTCCCAGTTAGTCGGGAATTCTGGGGTACCATGGCCATGGCCTAGCTCGGGTCCAATCCGCGAAACAAGTGCTCCGGGCGGGGGTCGAACCCGCCACCTACGGCTTTCGAGTCCGATGCTCTCCCTATTGAGCTTATTTATGTAACATCCAAAAAGCAAAAAGTTGGACGCATCAAAAACTTGAACCCGAGTACAAAAATTTTAAAAGTTTCGCACTCTACGGCACTACCTACTGCGCCAAACAACTTGCCGGTATGGGAGACGCAAGGGCTTGAAAAGGGGGCAGACCACAATGAGGACCAGGTCAGAATTGTCGGGTCATTTCGTGCTTTTTTATGTAACTTCAAAGGCCTATAACTTTTTATTTGGGGTATTGTGCAAAAATGAGATTAAGAAAGTCCACTTTATTTTTGATTTTCTATCCACTGAAAAAGTTTCAAGTCGATTTGACACCTGACCCAAACAACCTTCCCTTGTTAGCACTCTTTTTCGACTCCGCTTTTCGACGGCATTTGAAAGAGTATGGACGAATCGTTGGGTGTCATGGTTTGCGAATTTAAAAAGTAATTTTCGGAATTTAAAGAGGTGGTAAATTTGCGAACCTCAATAACTATTGAAGCCTAAGCCTAAGCATCTGTTGACCCCTCTTCGGGAGGGGGGGGGGGTTCAACAGATGCGGCGGTGAGGGAGGGCGCGCAAGAGCAGGGGCGTTTCCAGAAAAAATTTCGGTTGAAAACCAAATTGATTTAACGAAAAAAAGGCAGCGCCGCAGGCGGAAAATTTTGGAAAATAGGTTGCATAGCATTAAAAATAGTCTTAAAAACCGTAAGAGACAGCGCCGCAGGCCGAGACCGGAGCCGACTTTACGCAACCTCCCTGCCCATGAGAGAGACGCAGAGACACCCCTTTCCCCCGCGTGACGGATTGAGTTATGCCGTCTTTATCTCTTTAAGGTCCTAAAACCGTTTGACCCAAGCGGGGCGTTTAGTATCAATGGCTGAAAACGCACCTTTGGTGAGTTTTTCCAGCTTCGCATATGCCCGAGAATCCTGTGTTTGTGTGATGCGGACGATGAAATCTTAATGTACAGTGATTGAGAAGAGACTCGTTGTTGTTCCAAGTTCGATCTAGGACGTCAGGTTTGAAAGTCGACGTTTGGCTTTCCGATCAGATTCTCGACTGACACAACTCGATCGATCAGATTCTCGACTAATTAGAATCTCGACTGCCAGTAGATCAAATGATTAGAATCTCGATTTACAGAATCTCGAACGATCAGAACCTGTCATTTCCGATGATAGCGGCGTCGGAACCGGTCCTCCCAAATCAATCAAATCAAGGGGAATGGGCACTTTGAAAAATATGAACGACTTCCAAAGCACGAAACGCAAGCAGAAAAGTGTACGGTGATTCGACTATTTTTTGTCTTTGATGTCCCATGAAGTCGGTCGTTGCTACACGCCACACATACGACTAGGTATTTCTGAGATTGAAAACGCTTTTCGCGCAATGGGCTTGACTGATGTTCTAAGGCTTTCGAGATTCTGTCAGTCGAGATTTTGTCAGTCGAGATTCTAATTATTCGAGAATCTGATCGGTCGAGATTTTGTCAGTCAAGCTTTATTAGTCAAGAGTTTGTCAGTCGAGATTCTAAGGTTTTACCAACGTTTGCGGGTTTTGGTTCAATACTTTTGCAAGATTTGCATTGCAATGCGTGCAATAACTTGAACGACTGTACCGATCGGGCTGAAAGTTTTTGTGAACATTTTAAATCCCGTATCGAATTTTCAAGCCGATCGGATTTGAAATAGCAAAATGCCAGCGTGACCGTTTTTATTGGGACACCCTGTACAGTAGCGGTCAAAAAGTTATCAGCTTGGGAAATCGCCTGCATTTCGAATGTCGCAGCTCCAAATTTTTCGAAAATGGAGACTAGATTATTTAAGTAGCCGGGAATCCGATGGCAATATCGAAACCAAGCAAAAAGGCTAGTTTAATCGGTAAATTTCCATTTTGAAAAATTCTCAAAATCAACTTTTTCGTGGAGCATTTTCGGATTTCGAAAACATCACCATCGTGTTCAGGAGGGCGAAAATGTAATAATGATTTGCGTACATGGATTGGCCCAAGGTTTCTAGCAGCTAGGACAGGACGTTGCCGTCGAGCGGGTCATATCGATGCCCCGAACGCCTTCTTCCTGCCTGAGAAAAAGCCGGTTAGCAAAAAGGAGTTCTTGACCCTCCTTAACACGATGGCCATGCTTGCAAATCCGAAAACGCTACATAAAAAGTTTATTGCTTGATTGCGATATTACCATTGGGTTCCCGTCTACATAATTAATCCAGTCTCTCTCAGGAAATTTGGAGCTACAGCATTCGAAATATATTATATTTGTTGTGTTCATTGAAAACATTGGACCTGATTTTCAAAATCAGCTCACCTTTCTTGGCGTCTGCGTACTTGGCCGCGGTGTGTGGCGCTGGACTAGGCACTGAAAATGTATTCACATTGTTAGATTCCTTCTACGCTTTTAGAATTAATTAGGGGCAAGCCTATTCTTACATCCTCTTCCCCCTGTTACACCGAATGTACTTACGTGTCGACTCGATTCGCCGAAGGGTTTTCCTTGCGCTAATTGATAGCAGCACATCGGCCTCTGTGGGAATTGCGCAGGGACGGACGACCAGATCGTATATTGTCTTAAAAGGTTCGAACCGTTCATTATAGCTTGGCACAGTTTTTTCGACTCAATTTTTATGATGCCATCGGAAAGAGCGTGGCCGAATTAGCAGGGTGGCATAGTTTTGAAAGTTTAAACAGGTAGTTTTTGAGGTTTAAATGGGGGTTAAAGTTGCCGAACTGCAAAAAACTATCTCGAAAACTACCTTTGCGTGTAGGCATCATGCTGAAGCGATTGTAAAAAAGAGCAAAACTAAATTCGATTTATTTCGATGTTGCGGAATCGAACTCGGGTCGTGTGCCTAGGAACCCTGCGGCGCAATGAGTAGGGCATCGGCGTGCCAATCCAGAGGTGGCGCCGGTTTAATCCCAGCCCTATCTCAGGAGCCGAATTTCTTTTTGCTCTGTTTTTCACAAATCGCGTTCTAATAAAAATTGGGACACCTGGGCGCAACACAATCAATAAATCATTCGACGCAGAATTCTTTGGCGCATCTTTCTATGCTATTCTGAAATTGAGTTAAGGTGTTCCAAACCTCGAAAATGTCGAAAAACTCTTTTCAGCATGCGATTTAACAATGTTCCGGTCATTTTTAGGTTTTCCAATGTATTAAAGAAATGATCTCCATCCAAAATTAGGCATTGACACCAATTTTCAGCAAAATTCGCTTCGGTAGTTGTCGAGATAGTGTTTTGGTGATCGGCAACTTTAACCCCCATTTTAACCACAAAAACTAACTTTTTTACCTTTCAAAACTATGCCCTTCTACTAATTCGGCCACGATCTTTAGATGGCATCATAAAAATTGAGTAGAAAAAACTGCGCCAAGCCTTGCTCGGGTGACCCCCAGTCGGCCTTTTAAATAGCGTTGATCACCAGTAACCGGAATATCTGACAGAGAATTTCTTATCCATGCAGTTAAACGAAGCTAATTTTCAACTCACTTTCAGCACACTTAGCGGTGTATTGTCCTTGCAGCGGTTTTTATAGTCGTCTGTGTGTAGATGCATCGTCGCCGGGTCTAGGAGTACATCGTTGAATGCCTCCTCGAGCTTGGTCACCGGGGTTCGGACTCTCTAAGCATGTCGTGTGAAAAATTCGCAAACGATACCTCGTCCCAGCTGAGTGACACCATCGCTTTATGTGTTGCCGCAAACCCGGCTAGCAGGGCGTGGCGAATCGCTGAGCAAGCAATTATTAACAAACTGGGATTTTTCCGCTTCCGCTAATTCAGATCTTTACATTTTTTGGACTTCAGTCTAATATCTAGCATCACGGTCGTTTTTGAGCGGAAAGAAAAGAAACATTTTCTATCTGGCGTTTTGCAAGTTTTTGATTTTCGGGCTTCCTCCGCCCAAAGACTGGAGAGCCAAAGACTACCTTTTGGGTAGCCGTCGACCATTAAAGGGATACCCAAGGTTTTGGCGGCAAATATATAGTTATGGATTCCGGGCAGTACAAATGGCGCTCGAATTTTGTGCGGCAATGGGCCCCCAATGCCGCACAGAATTCGGCCACCTTTCCCTCTTGTGGCGTCCCCATCCCATCTAATGGCTTGCCACTATAGCCTAATGGATAGCATCCAGGCCTACAAAACGGGGGTCCCGGGTTCGACCCCCGCCCGCGGCATGGTTTTTGCTTTTTGAGCCGCGAAACGGTTGGGCATCCCTTTAACTAGAGGAAATGGAAGGAGAGGGAATAATTGGTTCCAAACCCCTATGAGGAAGGTAAATTCGACCGCATGCCGTGCCGCTCCCTTTTTGAAAACAAACCCTGATTCTGCTCGAAGATCTGCGTTTTGAGCTGTTCGATGGCGCGGGCTTCCGGAGACGTCGGCTTAAAAAGGGTAATGATATGTGGGCTGACGTGGAAAAAGCGCAAATGTAAAGTGTTTTTGCACAGGCTGGCAGGAATTTTCTGCCGTCCAAATTTGGGTAGGTTTGCTAAATTCGTGAATAGTTTCCCGCACAGGAGATAATGCCAATGGTAGCTCTCGGGCTGGCTGACAACGCGTCCCATGCAGCCAAAATTTCCGGGGGGGACTGAAGTACAGTTCCGAGAAGTTTTTTTGGCAAAACTAAAAAATTGTGTCAGTCGGCTATCTCTGCTTGCTGTAAGGTGTTTTTTACATAGACTGGAAATTCCCTTCGAGAGCAAGTCTAGCCCGTGCGGAATTTTTCGCGGTTCCGAATCTGTTTTTTCGAAATCTGCTGAAGAGCCCGCATTAAAAAGTTACCGCGATTTTTCTTACAAACTGTCCAAAAATACCCAATTTCAACTCGCTCTAAAAATTTTGTAGGCTACTTTCTGGATAAAAACACGCCATATCCTGGGGTAGTGCTCTTTGAAATAAGCTATCTCCCGGGCCTGTAGATGAAAATTTTTGTAATTCGCCTAATTTCTCAAGCCTTGCCATCCCATCCGCGTGGTCTGTGTTTGTCCAGAAAGTCGCCTACATGATTTTTAAAGGGAATTTAAATTGATTGTTTTTGTTTTTAATGCGGGTTCTTCAGCCGATTTGGGAAACAGATTCGGAATCAGCGAAAAATTCTGCACAAAATAGGCTTGCTGCCTATTGGAATTTTCGCCTTATTTGTCAACACCTTACAGGTAGGACGATTTGCATACGACTAACGCAAACCGATAGCTCTCGAAGAGTAGCCATCGCTCGAGAATGAGATCATCAGAATTTGACACACGTTGACTGAAATATATCCCTGGGAAAATTGGTCGATTTGTTAGAACTTTTCTCAAAATCCCATAAATTTGGTCCAAATTCAAAACACTATAATTCAAGAAAGTGATAGCAAAAACAAAATAAACGTTAAAAGCGGATTCGTAATCTATACTATGTGGTTTACCTAATGAACGAGAACCCCGATCGATCCGCGCTAGAGCTATCGGACGCAAATCGCTCTGTGCAGGGATGGGTACAAATAGGATAACGGGGGGGGGGGGGGGGAATAACGGGGGGAGGGGGGTACTCAAACTTTTTATATGATAAAAGTATTTTAAAATATGTTTTTTTCCGGCTGTAAAAAAAGCCTAAGCCTCAGCAAAAGCTCTTAGTATATTTTTAGGTCCTCTATCGAATGGCATTTTCAATATTCAAAACGCCGAAAATTTGTTTCCCCCCCCCCGTTATCCTATGTGCTGCCGGTAGTTTAAAAAAAATAGTTTTTAGGCTATAAAACTTTTATAATACATTTTTTCGCGTTGAAAAAAATCTCTTAGTATATTTTTTGATGTTCTATCGATTCGCGTTTTCAAAATATCGAAAATCTCAAAAATTTGGCGTCCCCCCCCCCCGTTATCCTATGTGCTGCCCATAGATTTTCCTCAATTTTTGTTTGTTCAATAAAAAATTTCCATTACATTATTTTGGGTTCAAATTAATTCTCTTAGTATATTTTTCGACGTTCTACCGAATGGCACTCGCAAAATCCCACAGTAATTCAAAATTTCATAATAATGAGTGCCCCCGTTATTTTATCCCCCCCCCCCCGTTATCCTATGTGTACCCCTTGATTTTGGCAGGGGTGGGGGTGGGGGAATTTCCGGGGAATTAGACCCTGCAGGCATGACCACTTGAAATCCGGCCCGTTTCCTAGAATTTTCCCGAAATCCGATACGCACGGGCGTAGCGAGAAAGAAATATCCCTGGGGCCCGAAAAAATTTTTGTTACATGGGCACATTGACGAAAACACAGCGCCGCAGCCGAAAAGTTTCGAAAAACAGGTTCCAGAGCCTTAAAATTAATACACAATCGGGGTCTTTAGGAAACCAGTTAGTCGGTCTCGGTTTGTAAACCGCGGCATCAACAAGGGAACAAATGCTTACCGGGAATATCACTTTTGCACCGGCGGCGATCACTGCGCCCACGGGGCCCGCGAGGGTGAGAAGGGTGTCGGCACGTCCGGCTAGGGCCCGCATCTTTTCCAGCCCTTCGAAACCGGGCTGTGCCACAGTCCACCAGCTTTCCGTGTATCGTTGAAATGCCTCCCCGTCTATAAATTATGAAATATTTAAGATACGGATGCGCTAAAGAGACAAAAAGTACCAACAGTCGGTTCCGGCGGTATTCGCCGTAAAGATCAAGAACAGCAAAAGCTTGCGGGTCGGGAGCATCATCACCTGAAAAACCTCATTGTGGTAACCTGTTTCTATGTATGCAGGGCATTTAAAGAGCAAAAATGATTTTATCTGAAGTGAAACTTAGGCGGTTGTTTGACCCAGTGCCCGAGCCGCGTGGCTATTCTATGAAAAATGACGTATGAATAAAAATTCTAATAAAAATTATTAGGCAAAAGAAAAAGAAATAAAATTCTAAGAAAATCTGAAGAATATACCTATCCAAAGCACAGCTAAAGGAAATCCAATAGCCTTATTCGAGGGCGTAGAATACTGCACGCTTATCAGGTTTTTACTAAAATAGCGTTTTATACCTTATTTTAACGTTTTTAAAACATATGGAAATATACTAATTTGCATACGAGAATTAATTCGGCTCATTCTGGGCTTTGTTGGGCTCACGTAATTCCCGTGGTGCTCGGATCCTAACATAAATCGTATTTTTGCCAATTGTTATATGTAAAGTGTCCGTGTATTAAAGGTCCCCGCAGAGAAGCCAGGGGTGAAAAGCAGCGTAGCGGCTTTTCAACCCTGGTTTCATTCTAAATTGTGAAAAAAATCTTGAAAGGAAACCCAAGGTTTTGGATGCATATCCATAACTATATATTTTCCCGACTCGCCCCCATCGCCCCTCTTTGACCTGGTAAGGGTCGACCTTTTGCCGGCATGGGGCCCCTCTCTCTTTTGTGACGGCCCCATCCTGCCCGATGGCTTGCCACTATGGCCTAATGGATGCGTCCAGGCCCACAAAGCGCGGGCGGCGGGTTCGAATCCCGGTTCGCTACATGGTTTTTGCTTTTTAAGGACCGGATAGGTTGGGTATCCCTTTAAGTATATTTTTTTGTTCCTTTGGGATCGCGTTGAAAATTGTTTTTTTTTTGGGATCGCGTTGGAAAAATCCCCAGGCAAGGGCCAGGCTTAAAGGTACATTCCGCTCTCGTTCTGAAACCCCTAGTTGGCGTCGGGAATTGGGCGGCCCGGCAGCGGCCCTCACCGACCCTTCATATCCCCGTCTCCTTCACCCCCACCCGTCTTTTGAGCTTGGCTTCAGGAGGTGGCGGCTGACTCGCCGTTAATGCGAAACTCCACAAAAACTATTTTAGATATGACATTTAACTACGTTCTGCTGATTTTCGCGCGTCGCGATGTGTTAGACTCCCATCCCAAATTAGGCCTAAGCATCTAGTTTCCACCAATTATGTCCAGCAGACGTCGAGGTAAATTTTCGAGCTTGGAAACTTTAATCCCCTGTTTAACCAGGACAACGTGATTTTAAAATACCGAAATTACCGCGATTCCTCTAATGGAGTCCCTGAGATGGCATCAAAACATCGGGGTCGAAAAAACTGTGCCGAGCCCTGTTCGGGTGACCCCCGAACGGCCTTTTTAAAACTTGTATTTGCTACGACTTTTTTATTACATTATTTTAGGCTATAATCAAACCGGTTTGTATATTTTTTACGCTCTATAGAATGGCGTCTTTAATCAAACAAAATAACGAAAATATGGAACACTAACGTTTCAACCTTTGTTTTATTGTTATTTTTGTTTTAGCTATAACGTTTTTAATTACAAAATTATTGGCTTATAATTGTTATTTAGGATTTCCGGGGGGGAAGGATTTCCGGGAAAACCAAATTTTTTTAAGATGGCGGATGCGTTTCTAAATTGTTTTAACTATGCTTAAGCATCAAAAACTACACACATTTTAATTAAAAAATTTAATTTTTGGGCCGAAAAATCCTATAGAACCTTTAGGATTAGCGGGGGGGGAAAGACCCAAAATGACCAAATTTCCGACTTTTTCAAACATTTTCTAAATTTTGTTTAAAGTTTTCTACTTTAAATATAGTTAGAATTTACTAAAAACAATGTGAAACAACTTTATATTTGATTACTAGGTCAATCGGGACCGCCAGGAAAAAATGATTCCCCCCCCCCCGCAAATCCTAAAGAACCCATATCTCGAAAACGAAAACTCTGCCGGCGGTTTTGCCCTCGGCGTAGATTTTTGCCCCCGGCCAAATAGCACTACCCAAATACTTTCAATACCAATGTGGTAAACAAATGTGGTAAGGACCCGGAAAGGTGAAAAACTCGGCGAAGCGAGAGGTCAACGGCGAGGGGGTTTGTCGCGTGTTAGTAGAAGTGAAGGCCCCGGGTTCGGCGCGGCCCTTATATGCCGCCCAGCGATGGCAAAAAAACGTCGGTCCCGTACCAGTGTTGCGAATGTGCTGGGCAAGCGGCGCAAGGCACGGGGATGCGGCGTGGAGATGCAAAAAGTGTTGAGGAGACGGCCGCGACGCCAAATTTTTCCAACGCGGGGGGGGCGGGGGTCATCGGGACAGAAAGTGGGGTTGGAAGATAGGGTGGGGGTTTAAGAGGTCTATGAGAAAAGGCAGCGCTCGATGGTTCCTAGAAGCGAGAATGCCGGGTTCGGTGCCGGCTCGTATACTGCCGAGCGACGGCAAAAACTACGGCAAAAAACGTCGGTCCCGCGCCAGTGTTGCGAATGTGCCGGGCAAGCGGCACGGGGCCGGGGCATGCGGCGTGGAGATGCAAAAAAAGTGCTGAGAGAAGGGCCTCCCCGCCCCTGCCCATTGCGTTTGGTGTCCAGCACCTAGAGGACGGCCCAGCCATCGGGCTTTCAAGGTTACCCCCCCTCCAGGCAGGCCTGGGAATTTGCCGGGCCGGGCCGAGAAATTGAAAAATGCCGGCCCGGGCCGGCCCGGGGGATTTACGTAGTCTAAAAATACCTTTTTTGGGGAACCCAGAAAATTTTTTATTTCGTAAAATTCGTCTTGGAAATAGATTGTTAAAGCAATTTTAACAAGGTTTTATCATCCCCGATGTTAAGAAGAATGAGGGATTTAGGGCCGAAATTGATGGTAATAGATGCAAAGTCCAAAAAGATAGCCGAAAAAATGAAGCAAAAGTGTTGAAAAAACAGTATTTTTGTTATAACTCGAAAACCACTGTACCGATCGGGCTGAAAGTTTCTGTGAACATTTTAAATTCCCTTCCGCATTATATTTCATTTAAGCAGGCTTCGTCTAGACGACGCCTTACAGCGGTTTGAAGTAGGCTGTTTTTCACTATCAACTATAATAATTTTGCTGTGGTGTCCGTCCGTCTGTCCGGTCCCGAATTCAACTCGATGGGAAAAGGAGCTAGAGCTTAGCTCTCTTGGTATTCGGATAGAGCGCCCTCAGAAACCCCCGAACTAATAAAAAATTTATCAAAAAGTTTTAGTTTAAATTATTAAAATTAACTTTGAATGTATTTTCCTTAGTAAAAGGGGTGGGGGACGGAGGTTGGGGTGATTTTGGACATTGTGAGCCAGGTCGCGCGCGTTTCGGCGAGGGGAGGGAACGCGAGGGGGTAGTTGGAAGTCCAGTCGTTTGCAGCGGCGAAGCCGCTGTAAGCGGCTGGTATCCCATATAAAAATCGAAGTCAATCTCTCCAATTTTTCGAAAATTTTTAGTTAGAGCGCTCATTCCAAACAGCAAAATTTTCTGAATACGATGGCGATATTTATTTTTGCATAATCGGCCGGATCATCAAATCGAGCTCGAAGTTTGACGATTTTAACTAAAGGATCGCTGAAAAGTGGCATATCTCGCGTTTTGAAGATCAGTAGCAAATTTGGACAACGATGTGATGATCAGCGTGGTCAATTCTATCTGTGTGCAAATGTTCATCCAATTTTGAGTCCGGGCGTATTTTGCTTGTAAAATCGTTAAATAAGAATTTCATAAAGCAAAAAAATGCCTATAAAGAGAGCGTGCTTCTCCACCTCCATGCCAAAAATCAGCCTGAAATTCGGCCTGACGTTCGAGAAAACGGGGCACAGAAAACAGACATACTCTTCTCGCTTGTAGGATGGGATGATATCAAAAAACAATTTTTTTAACTGTAGGACGCTTAAAATCGCTCAACAAGGCAGTGTCACGCACAGACCCTTTTATTGAGTTTTCGGGCTCCTGAGTACAATTTGAGAAAAATTTTTAGGGGGTTATTTTAGAGAGGGTGTCTCAATTTTTCTATCACCCCGGGGGCGGGCGTTGTATTAGAGGGGGGGGGATTATAATAGGGAGGTGCAGCAAATACAGTACATAGCTATGCGTTAGGAGCATGGCCGTTCATTTTGGGTCCGGTCCGCGTCCGTCCGGCCCGCGACACGTAGCGTAAGGTGGGCCCCTCCCCGAAATCGGCCGGGGCCCGAATACAGCGGATATTTCCCATTTTTGTCAGCGGGGTTTGGGCAGAATATGCAAAGTATTTTTGTAATCGTACCTAGACGAGGGCCAGGGGTGAAAAGCCGCGGAGCGGCTTTTCAACCCTGGTGATTTTTATTTTCTCAAAAATTTTGCTGCCTGCGGCGCCCTTTTTTCACGTTTTTACTGCTTTTTGTAGAGCTATGTAGCCTTTTTTCCAAAAATTTTCGCCTGCGGCGCTGTTTTCTCGTTAATTTTTTGGGGGTTTTGGAAATTGGTTTTGGGGGCCCCCACCGAATTTTTTTTTCTGGCTACGCCCCTGTATACGACAGATGGTGATTGGGCTACACCCGACTAGGAAGGGGATAAGCCTCGTCCGTGGCGTACGTGTCGAATCATCACCGAAGCGCAGCCCCCCCGCCGCCGCCGCCGCCGCCCCGTATTGTCCTGTATACGACAGATGGTGATTGCAACGACGGGGATGTGTCGAATCAGCACGCGGGGCTCTAGGCCATGGTTCCTTTGCATGCGTCATTTTTCCGTCTTCGCATCTCTGGGGCAAAGGGCCGCGCCGGGGCTGCCTGCTTTCGTAAGAAACGAACCCATGCGTATAATACGTTCGAGAAAAAAATTTATTGTAAAATTGAGCCATTTGGTGTAGCGGTCTATTCAGGCGATTCGGAACCACAGGGTGTCCCGATAGCGTTAAAGGTACCGTCCGCTCTCGTTTAAATGGTCTAACAAGAAGACGTGTTCAGGTGCAAATGGATTTTTGGAACGAGACCTACATACAGGCCCGTAGGAGGGGGCCAGGGGCCCTGGGCCCCCCCGAAATCGGTCGAGGTTCGAAAAATTCATAAGGGGGGACCCGTATGATTTTTAGTTACAAAAATTTTTCTGCCTGCGGCGCTGTTTATTACTGTTTTTCAACAGTTTTGACTTATATGAAGCCTTTTTTTCCAAATTTTTTGCCTGCAGCGCTGGTTTTTCATTGGTGAATCAATTGTTCATAAAAATTTCCGCCTGCCGCGCGTTTTCTGTCGTGTTTTCACGTGAATTGGAGTGTAGGCGAACGCTTATTTGCGATTTTTTCTATTATTGACGCGATTTTCGGATGTTTTAAAAGTGACGACCGGGGGGCCTGCCTACATAGCTCATTCGAAAACGCACATTTAAAATGTTCGCATTCTGTAAATCGGCATTCTGTAAATCGGCATTTTGTGAAATCGGCATTCTGTAAATCGGCATTCTGTAAATCGGCATTCTGTAAATCGGCATTCTGTGAATCGGCATTCTGTGAATCGGTATTATGTAGGTAAACCATTCAAAATCTATCGTTTTCCTTTTGTACAGGATTTAAAAAACTACTAAGCTGATATCCGGAATCGTGCCTTGTGTTTTGGTTTTCACCGTTTTCACAGTGTAGAAAATGACCCAGCGAAGCGTTTATTAACAGCACAATGTGCACATCACCCACGTGCACCCGTCCGCTTTGCAGCCCTTCTTTCCGCAGCACGCGGTCCTCATGCTGTTCCAGCAAAGCGCGCCTCTTTTCAGCCGCAACGCGCGCAGGAAGCCGCCGGCCTAAAGGTCATCTTCATCGAAAAAAATCGATTCTATTTTCCTTCAGCACTGAAAAATGTTAGATTTAATTGCGGTTTTCGTAGTATAGCGATAACAATTTCTAAAACCTACACTCCAACACTATAACAATTTCGAAAACCGCATAAAATTCAAATTTTTGTCCTGTTTTAGTCAGTTTTCATATTATCTTTTGAGGCACGCTTTTTGAGACTATTTAAAATTTTAGTTTAGGCGTTACAATATACAAAACGAAATCTTTTTGGATTGGAAATGGCTTACCGGCAGATTAGCAGATTAAGAATTTTTTCACCTACCCCCTCCGCCGCTAAAAACGCTAAAAACCTACCCCTGACAGCGAGGTTGAGTTTTCAGCATTGGGTTCCGCAAGCTCAGCTGCAGTGACGGCCGCAAGAATGGCCAGCAGACATAGCAGGATCAGGATCTTTGGCATTTTCAGGTTTGTCAGGTTTTTTGAGACGCTGTTGGGTTACTTTGGCCCCTGCCTTATATAAGCTGCGGCAAAAGCTGATCGGCTGACGCTGATGCCCATATCCAATAGGATCCAATACAGATGCCTCCGGCCGCCCGCCCACGCGCGGGCGGTGCTGTTTACAGGCTATAAACACTGTTTGCTATTTACCAGCTAAAGAACGCGGTATTCGGGGAGGAACTGCAGCTCGCCTTCCAAGCCGTAAAAGTACGGCAGGTAGCGCGACTTCCGGCGAGAGACTTGCGTAGCTTAAGGTTGAGCCTAAGCTTCTTAAGAAATTTCAGGTGCCATTCTCACGCTGGTTCTGGATTTCGGGTTGCAGGGCCCGGCGAAAAAAAAAACTATGTTCCTTGGTGTGTAAACAACAAACACTGTTTGCATAACCATGTAAAGGTGTTGACATGACTAAGTCGTATTTACAAGACCGATGCGTGGGCGTTCGGGGGCGTTCGTGGCCTTTGAGTGCCGGGACATATCGTTAATAGACGGACACCGTACCATCCATCCTTCGGAATTTTTTAAGGTCGTGCTCAAAAAGTGCGTTCTCACTCTGTCAACAATAAACAGTGTTTATGGCGCGCAAACATCCGGAAATCCTTTACAAGACTGACCCTTTTGCGTGGGCTTTCGGAGGGGTTTGTGGGCCCTGGCGTCATCCGGACAGTTTTGACCACAGGTCGCCCGGGGTTATATAATGCACCGTCAAAATCAGAAAATCAACATTAAAAATGTCAAAGATCCTTCTCGTCTTTTGCCTGCTGGCCCTTCTTGCTGCCTATGTTGTAGCCAATTCCGTGGAGGCGGATGCCAAAACCACTCTCTCGGCGGTAGGTTTTTAGCAATTTCTGTAACAAGCACATGATCAGGTGGCTTTATTTTTAAATTTGCTTCCAGGGGCGCCCCAAAAATTCATTTACTCGAAAATCGGAAAAATCGCAAAATTAGCTGACCAAAAAGTGACCGGGCTAAAAATCACCTTTTCCAAAATCACGCAATAGTGCTGTCATCTAGTCGCGGAAAATTTTCTGATTTCTCTACCGCTTTTGAAATGTTTTTAAGTTTTCTGCGCTTTTTTAAAAAATATTTTTACAATCACTTGAAAGAGTTAAACCTAGCTAAAAATGGTTCTCTATGACTTTTAGAAACTGGAATCTTCAATAAGGATTTTCAAAGCCTAGAAAACTCTTCGATAGTGACTGTTAACGTCGAATTTTGCTACAGGCTGACGTCTTCTCGAATGCAACCCGCGACAAGCGCGGAATCTGCCTCCCGGTCATGCAGGCGCGCTGCTGCGGCAACAAGGGATGCAAGGCCGCCGGCTGTGTCCCAATCATGTGTGCGATCTGTTGCTGATGAATAAATTGGATGGTATCGCCATTTTTTTTGGCAGTTTTCAGTTTTTATTACAGTCAAGTTACAGTAGAAAAACATAGCAAGTAGTGGAGGCACAAGCAGATTTATTCAACGCGCAAGTAGTAACAGCAATACAAGAAAAAGCAAAATCGAGTATCATTTTTGATGCCTGAGGCAAGAGAGCGCTTCGGAAGGGAGACACTAATATGAAAAAAACACGCAAAAATCATCGCATCGTAATAAGAAATCATGTTAGATAAAGTTACGCAATACTACTAGACCATTAGGTGGTAGGCTCGATACTGGCATGGCCATGGAAACCAATGGTTTTCAATCAATTCCTGGGATGCAGAGAGGGTACCATTTGTTGGGCAGGCTTCCAGAGTGCAGTTTCCGACTATCGCATGATCCTCGCAGTGCATAGGGTTGTCCATTAAGAAGAAGCTCCCGGAAAACGCGTCCTCGCTCACCAGACCGATTGGTGCAAAATAACGGTCGATCGCTAACTCAGCCCTGCCTCTCGAAACATCCAGGCTGTTCCTGAAAAGTGGGGGATTTCATTCATTTTTCACTACCTTTTTACCTAAAGCAACGCAAAACACGATTTTTCGATTATCTTGTAGGAACAACGGGCATAAATTTGACGATTGCAGTGGGGTAAGGATTGATTTTGCGTCTGATAGAATTGGTTTTTAAAACTCAAGAAAGCAGCTGCCCGAAGAATTTCCAAGCAAAGAATTTTGGGCAGTATGGATTTTGGTTGAATCTGGTAACGTTTCTAGTGACAAAGGAGTTTCCATACAGGACGTGACTTGTACAGAATTTTGCGAGGTTTCCGCTGCTGGTTTCCAAAATCTTCGAAACGACCGGAGTCAAGAATCTATGAAGTTTTTAGTGTGAACACGCAGAATTTGCGCGGCATTCGTTTCCAGTGTCGCCGTTTCTAGCGCATAACAGCTTCATAGCTTTATTAAAGCGTTAACGCATAAGTAATCCGTGACGCGAGGCAAAAAAAAGTCTCTGCGCCTCGTCTCGGGGGAGTGATCTGCCCTGTTGGCTATTGCCGAAAAGTCGATCAGGGGTGATCGACTTACGCCGTCGGTATCCTTTTAATTTCGTGGTTTCGCAGCTTTTAGAAATAGAGTCGGAATCAACGCGCAATTCTGCCCAAGATAGACCTGATGCTGCGTGGAAATAAAATACTAATAAACGCTACGCGAATTTACTCACCTCAAAGCTCGCTTCACCGCATAATCTTCTTCTTGTAGGCGAATTTTCGCTTGCTCCACTCTCTTGCAAAATGCAGGGTCCACAAAGTTGTATCTGAACACGTGCACCGTCCAGCCCTCTGCGTTTGTCACGTTCGCATACGTCCCGTTTATGGCGCGCACTGCATAATGCCTTTCCGGTACCCAATCACCGGGGTGAGCCAGGGTTTGATATCCCCACCTGAAAATAAAGTGTAAAATCGTGTACAAAGTTAGCACGTTCTGTTTCATGACATTTCATGGACTCGTCTTCTATTACTACTTATAGTCCCGGCAAGTGGAGTTAAATCGGCTTTAAAGCGCACGTTCAGGGAGGGGCCGTATACTCGTCCCAACGTGTACACCCTATGGACGTAGAGACCACGCGCACGGCCTGCCGGTGCCGTGGCAGGCAATTTCCCTCCTTTTCTGGGTGGGGCGCCCCTCGCCCCCCCCCCCCTCCAGCTTGCACCTGTGGCTGACTGGTATCCACCGTGCCTCCCGAACGGGAATCCCGGGTTCGACCCCCGGCCGAGGCAAAAATCCTTGTTTTCTTGCGAAAAAAAAACGTCCCTAAACATGCCCTTTCAACACCGTCAGAACTCTGGAGGGGAGCGGCGCCTATCAGTTTGAACAGATCGTTATCAGTACGCAGATAGGCGGTAGGCGCTTCCGCTGGCGCACGCAGATGTCTTTTCGTGGCCCCGGGGCACAATCTCCTCTCATTAGTGCGCACTTTCGACAACGCGCGGTTACAATTTACCATAGGTTCAGCCGTCATTTTGGGTTGCCACGCCCAGGGTTACAGTATGCGTTCCAGAGTTCTGACAGGACAGTCTTTAACTTCATAAATTTGCGATTTTAGCCAAATTCCGAATACACCATCGGAAAGACCGAATACCCAATGAACCCCGATATCGGCGTAACATACAATTACTTAAAATACAGGACATGGTAAAAGCTTTCGATCGCGCAGCTTAGCGAAAAAACTTTCCGTCTAAGCTATTCGAAGCTATTTTTTATGATGTCTGAATAGATTCGCACAGCTCTACACGTTTCCGATAAGCCAATCTAACTCCAGTAACCGATTTTAATAAATTGCATCTCTACCCAGTAATAGGTGTTCTTACGCTTTCGGTCCAGTGTCTTCGTACGCTCGTCGCACGATCGATGCCGCTTCGTCGGCGGTTGCTGGCTTTTTCTTCCAAAGCCGTTCCTCCGCTAGCTCAGTCGCACACTCTGGCCAAGACAGCTCCTACAAATACCAAAAATGTCAAAGCCCTGAACTTATATTAGAGGAAATACGGTATTTACGAAAAGGTGGCTATCGCATTGTAAAGTGTTCGAACGTTCGAGGATTTTGTAAATACCGGACGCTTTGTGAAAGTCATGTTCCTTTGACAGCCACGATATTAACAATAAATACCTTAAGGAATTTAGTTGCCCATTCGACCATCCTACAGAATGTTTCACTTTCTCTGGAATAGCTGTCGCCTACCTGAATTGCCTCAGCCCAATCGACTGCATGCGAGCTGATTTGTCGGACCCAGTCGATCGTCTTGTTTTTGCGGTACTCAAGTGACTCTGGCGTTTTATTCATTTTGACGTCATCACACGCCGAGCCGAGCAAGATCTAAAATATCAGTATGTTGCGGACAACACGTGTCCGAAGGTTAGGCGACAAAACGTGATACAGCAGAAAGTACCGCGCCGCCCACCCAAATCGTTTGTATCTCGACCCCCTGCCGACCTAAAGGTGCGCAAAGTATACTCAAAATCTTCGTCTTGGCCTGCCGAGTATTTTAGCATCCTTTACAGGCCCGTAGTACACGACGAACTAATGTGGTCGGTGAGGATGCGGGGGATGTGCAGAACCCCCCCTCGGAATCACTTATATATAAATTTCTAATACCTAATGAAGTAAAGCATTCCAGGGTTTGACTTGCATTACCGTAAGAATTCCAGCATTGGAAAAGTGGAACCTACCAGAGATTTCATTGTTTCGATTAGCACTTGTAGCTCATGCCCCATCGACTCCCGTGTAAACCCACGATTTTGGACGCGCACCCATAAGTGGCAGCTGCAAAATAACTGTACCACGCGTCGTCTATCAACTATAGGGGTCTCATATCCCCCGACCGGTTATTTCGAACCGAGCTAAAATTTTAAGGAGACAGCTAACAAGGGAACCTCAAGTTGGCACGGTGGAATTTCGAAAAACGCTCGCGGCTACCCCTAGGTTTTCGACTATGGCGATTCCAACGGTCTAGTCAGAATTTCCTAAATGGGCCTCTGGACAGAGATACAGCACTTCCGGAAAATGATGATTTACATCCGAAAAATTAGCATTAGCGATAGGTTTATGAGGCCCTCCCATCACTATGGAATCACCAGTTGAATGGCCGAGTGGTAAGCGACTCACTTGATAGGATGCTGACCAGGGTTCGAATCCGCTCGCAATTTTTTATTTTGCTTTTTGACCGGAACTTTCTGCCCAACTCCAAGTTTTCGTTACTTTTTTTCGAAAAACGTTAGCGAAGCCAAAAAAATTCAAAAATCTCATCCGAGTGGCCCATTTGTAAAAAAACCGGAGATGGGAACACCCAGCTGTTCGCATAATTTTTGCGAATTTTTGAGGCTTCTTTGGAGTAGCCAGCAGAAACTTCCGGTCAAAAAGCAAAATAAAAAAATTGCGAGCGGATTCGAACCCTGGTCAGCATCCTATCAAGTGAGTCGCTTACCACTCGGCCATTCAACTGGTGATTCCATAGTGATGGGAGGGCCTCATAAACCTATCGCTAATGCTAATTTTTCGGATGTAAATCATCATTTTCCGGAAGTGCTGTATCTCTGTCCAGAGGCCCATTTAGGAAATTCTGACTAGACCGTTGGAATCGCCATAGTCGAAAACCTAGGGGTAGCCGCGAGCGTTTTTCGAAATTCCACCGTGCCAACTTGAGGTTCCCTTGTAAGCGATGCCAAAAACTACATAACGTGGGAGGTTCGAAAGCCGAAAGTGGCAGGATACGAGAGAAAACGCAAAAAATAGACTATCGAAGCATATAGTTTTTTCTTTTTTATAACGTTAATTTGCTGAAAAACACGCTCTTTTTAACAGCGAAACCATCGGACCGTATGCAATTTGCGGTTCACGTAGAGAATTGGTCTCCTTACCTTCTTTTTGCCTTATCTTGTGTATCCTGGCACCTAAGCTTTTTAGCCTAACGGGCTATATGGTTTTTGGCCTTGCGCACCTCTCGTAAAAATTTCAGCTCGGACGTAAATAAGGCGGAGTAAATAAGGCGAAATTGACGCCCGAGATCCAGTTGTCTATAAAATACGGTTTTTGTGTGGTGGCGTTTTTACACAAAGTTGTTGGAATTTGCTTACGCCTTCTTCCACGGAGTCTGCGTGATGCCCCTCAATAATTTGGTAAACTCTCGAAACGAGGTTGGTTCCTCTGAAAAGGCATCATGTTTCTCGGTGGAAATCCTGTCGAAATTCAGCGCTCAAGGCAAGATGCTGAGCATGAGCATAGCATCACGCCTTGAGCGCATTTCGAAAGAAGTAGTGGCGCAAAACAATTGTTCCAAGCGCTTTCCACAACATTGGCATCAAAACGCACCCTTAGAAATGTCCGATAGCATGGTATTGGCCTTGTATTTTGGTGCTGCTCCAACCGCGTAGATGAAATCTGAAAATCCCAGATGATTAAGCCACTTCATGGCTTGAATCAGCTGACGATTGCGTGCGCTCTGCATGGCTTTGGGATACCAAATAAATTTATAAATGAAACGCCACGTGGTGGCGCAAACATAAATCGCGTAATACGGATCCTTTTCCTTGTAAGGTAGCCCCTGTCTTCTTCCAATCACCGGAAAAATCTAAGAAAAACCCTTTCTGCTAGCTTTAGATACCTCCCATAGCCAAAAACACTTCAAATACAAATTAGTTCGTTTTAAAAAGGACAAGAAAAAAGCATATAAAAAAACGCATGAAAACCGGAAATTCCAAAGCCGGGATCGCTGACGCGTGAAAGTTTTGAACCGAGTGCCCACCCTGTGTGGACATGTAAAGGAGCGCCACGTTGCCGCCAAAGCAATGCTAAATATTATCAACCTTTTAAAAAAGATTTTTAGATATGCAAATCAAGTTTTTAGATGCTGATTTCGACGATGTCGAACTCAAGCCAGGTAGATTAAAATTCCGAATAAACTAGAACCGTTTTGACCGAAGCTCCAGCTCCTTTCCCCTTTCACCTATGCTTCTCACGGATTTGATTGCTAGGTGAATCATCTCATTTTGATCGAGCTTCCTTACCTGCCTTCACCTGGCCAAACTCGTCCATATTCCGTGAACTGGTTGTCGTCACTGCAAATTTCATCGTATCATCGTACCAAAATGTCATCATGTCGGCATTTATTTGGACCTCTAACCCCGCAGTAAGTTCTAAACTAGCAGACAAACGCCTTCTACGACAGGGCTGGTACCCATATCGAAGCTTCACTCGTCAACGTGAAAATTTACTCAGCCATGCTCCCTTGGTGAACCTACATTTGGACTCGATTCTCCGCACCGCTTTACTCGCAGAGGTCGCTTGTAGCACTTCGGCTTTCGATGGCACTGGGCAATTTTTGGAGATGATGAGAAAAAGCTGCTAAAAAGAAGGTATTCTCCTCCAGAAACGGGCTAAGAGATTACGCAACGTTTCAGCGCGACCACGTTTAGCGTTTCAGCGCAACATTTCAGCGCCAACCGAACTCGGCGCCTACCGATTTCGGCGCCTACTTAATTCGACGCCCGGCAATTCGGCGCCATACTTAATTGGAGTCCGAAAAAAGATCGGGCCCAGTACGCAGGGCCGTAACAAACCCAGATTTCGGGGGGGGGGGCGACCCCAAAAAATTTTCACTAATATGACTAAAATTACAGCGCCGCAGGCAAAATTTTTGAAAACATAGGGTTTATAACACTAAAACTAGTGTTAAAAATAGTCAAAAACAGCGCCGCAGGCAAAAATTTTTTTGGAAAAATTAAATCATAAGGGTCCCCCCTTATGTACTTTTCGGCCTTCGGCCGATTTCGGGGGGGGACGGCTCGCCCCCCTCGCCCCCCCTCTTACGGGCCTGCCAGTACGGGGTGCTATGCCCTAAGCATGCGCGGCCACTACAGACGATCGATTACTGTGATAACACGTGACCCAATTTTTATCAATTTGCACCCCAAACTAGAGTTTATTGTAATCGTCTGTGGATGATTGGGCCGTTATTTGCAGCACCCCGTACTGCACTCGATATTTTTTCCGGACCCCGACTACCGAAGTGGGTCGTCAAAGTCGTCGAAGTGTCGGGCGCGGAAATCGGTAGTCGCCGAGTTCGGTAGGCGCCGTTTGAGACTTGCCGAGATGTCGGCGCGGTCCTGTCAGCCCCCTCCACCCCAACCCCGCGTTGTTTGTAACTTTTTTAGAGTGTCGCCTTTGATTTTGCCAAATAAATCTGTGTTCTCTTCAACTTTGTTCAGGCACTCAACTAGTCAACTTTATAGCAAAAAGAAATCACCAGAAACTTTATAAAAATATCGGCAAAAGCAATAAATATCAATAATTGGCTTCCCCCCTCGAAAAACCCGATAGTATCCCATACACAATATGAATTTCCGAACCTACTCGGAATAAATCGTCGGCTTGCACGCAGTCGCAACGTATCCTGAAATTATCGCGAAATTTCTGTCTCATCTCTGGGAATTCGTGCAGTTCCTTGTAGCTGTATAAAAGGCTCTGCACACGGTCGACGATTTCCTAAAATTCTGGACAAGTGTAGCCCGGTTACATGCAAGACATACCGGCTGTCCCGAAAAAATTTGAGACGCGTGGAAACTTTTGAGAGCTACGGTTCAGTTTACCCCCCCCAACCAGCCCCACTCCTCAGCCATAGGTCGTATTAATGCGCCGAGTATGTTCGCCGTGGTCGAATTACCATAGAAAAGTGAATGCCGCTCTCTATCCCGAAATTTCCAATCCCGAAACTCTCTATCCCGAAACTTCTCTATCCCGAAACTCTCAATCCCGAAAACTCTCGATCCCGAAAACTCCCAATCCCGAAAGCTTCGTATCCCAAAACTCTCTATCCCGAAATTCAGTATTTTACGTTTCCTAACGCCCTAGATCCTTGTAGGCATCGGAAAATCATTTTATCAAATTTCCGAAACGGGAAACTATTTACTTGAAAGGTCTAGTCTGGTGTTCGGTACCTTAAAGTGCACGTTCAGGCACGTTGAACGTAACAACCTCCGACGGTTGATAGTCGAGAAAGACCGGCGCGCCACTACCGAGAGCGGCCGGCAGATGGTACACCTCTATGGAAGAGGCCCGTCTTGGAAAGCCCGGAAAGCCGACTTTTTTTGAAAAGTCCCCGGCGACGTATCCGACCGTCTGTAGTCGAGAAAGACCGGCGCGCCACTATCGAGAGCGGCCGGCCGATGGGTTCCACCTCTACGGAAGAGGTCCATCGCAAAGACCGAGTTTTTGCAACAGCTCGGCGGACGGAGCGCGCACAGGAAGCAGCCCGTCGACATGAAGCCCAAGATCAAGCTCATCATTCTTGCAAAGTGGGAAGGAAGTCGTGCCACAAGTCGCCGTCTTCCTTGGTCAAGCATCGCCGGACGTTCTGAAGGAAGGAAGGAAGGAGGCTAAGCCCTACGCGCTCGCCAATAATAAAAGGAAAAGCAAATAAGTTCCACTTATTTTACGTTGTGATTTGATCCCTCGTTTTGCTTGTACGCAGTTGTACATTCCCCTTTTGGTGTCTCCTACTCCTCTCCACAATTTCCTTTTCTTTTTCGTTTTGTACAAGGGGAGGTGTTGTGGAGCGCCTTCGAGCGCCCCCGCCTTTCCCTTCGCTCCCCGGCCCCCTCGCCTATCCAGTGCCCTTTCCACCGTAACGGGGTCTCTCTCCCCCTCGGGCCAGCGATGGCATTTATTTCCCCAGTTCCGATCCAGTTCCAATCTGGTTCAGTTCTAATTTCCTCCTCCTCTTGCCGCCATGCCGCTCGTCGAATAAACAGTGTTTGATACTGTTCGTCACGCGCTGCTACACATCTACGCAAGACACAACATTGCCTATTGACACCTGCGTCTCCTTCTTTTCCCAGTCTCTCGGCGTCAATAGGCAATATACGTTCAATATAAATATACGTCCCTGAACGTGCGCTTTAAAGCTAGCTAACGTGTTTCGGGATATCGAACTTCGCGATAGAGAGTTTTCGGGATACGGAGTTTTCGGGAATGGGAGTTTCGGGGAAGGGAGTTTCGGGATAGAAGGTTTCGGGATTGAGGAAACACCCCTAAAAAAGTTGCTTACTTGCGCCAAAAATTGTTAGAAAATTTTTTACAAGAATTGAAAAGTTGAGAAGGTTAATTAGCAATAGTACGGTGTACCCGGTGTTTATAACTCAAATATTTTCATTTTTCGATGTTCTTTTCGACTCAAACGTATTGGAGGCTTATCGTACAGATTAAGGGCTACATTTTGGTACCCTGAACACCTGGAAAACTAGAAAACCCAGAATTTTAACGAATGCGAATTTTGACCTCCGAGCCCCTTTAAAGAGATAGGGGCGGCATAAGTCAATCGATTACGCGAGGGAAAGAAAATGTCTCTGCGCCTCTCCCCTGGGAGCCCTCTCTCGCGCGAGATCGCCGCGGGACCTGTTGAACCCCCCCTCCCCAAGGGGGGGTTCAACAGATGCCGTCCCCATCTCTTTAAGGAACGGCCACACCCGGCCACTTTATCCCAGAAAAATTTATACGAAATTCTCGTGTTGCTTGCTGGACTCGTGCTTTTGCAAAAAAACCGTGTCGTACAGTTTTGGGCAAACGAGAAGCGCATGTTTTCTCGGCTTTTCGAGAGCCTTTGAATGGTGTAAAAACCAGCCCGACCCGAGCTTTCTTCGATTAGCTAGAGGAATTTATTTTGTGTCGCCGCGTACCGGTTTTCAATCCTGGTTCATTAAGAAGAATTTTTTAGTGATTACCGTTTCCCATTCTGTCCAGGCGAAATACAGATGCATTGCAGGGGCTTCGAACAACCATTTCCCCATCACTGCAATTATTGAAGGGTCTGGACCGTTAGCAGGGGGAAAACAACTCTTAATTCCAGCTACATTAATTCCAGTAATAAAAATAGTTGGGGCAAAAAACTTCTAAGCGCGAGTTCCGCATGGGAGCCTGGAGTCAATCGAAAAGTAGTTTTCGATATTTTCCATATTTTTACAAAATTTCTTGGACTCCATTGAATCGAACGTCACAAAATATACTACGAGTTTCAATTCTCAAGCATATTATGGTAATATAAAATAGTTATGGCAAAAAAAAGAAGTAGCTTCAGGCAAATCTCCCCCGGCGCGCACAGCCCCACCTCGAAATAGAACAGTACCCTTTAAACAAACCGTGCGCCTGGCTGTCGAGGTCCTGCAACAGCTGATCTCTGGCTCGGACATCGTCGTTTTTCGGCTTAACCAAGTGAATTACATTGGTAAAATCAGAAACACTGTCATGACATGGTAAGCTCCATGAAGTCCGCTTCGTCCGCTTGGTCTCCTCTAGGGTACTGGACTGTTAGTGGGGGGAGTACAATATTTAAGAAAACCATTTTTTTCCAGAAACCTCCACGGTCCTATAACAAAATACAAAATATTGTACCATTAAAACATTTTAATGGCCTTTTACGCAGTTTTTATAGATAAAAAAACTGAAAAACGAACGAAAATTTTCTTAACTTTTGAATTTTTAATGTTAAAAATATTTTTTGGAACTTTCTAGTAACCAAAAACTACGAATAACATGTTCAAAGTACACTATTTGGTACTTTGAAATCTCAAAAGATAAACGGTAAACAATAATTAGTTTTCGCCTGCTAAGAAGGCCCCCCTGTTAACAATCCAGTACCGCTTTAAAGGTACATTCCGCTCTCGTACGGAAACCTCGGTCAGCGGCGGGAATTTGGCTGCCTGGCAGTCGGCCGGACAGACCGTTAATAGACTCGCCCCCCCTTCCCCCTTCCCGTCCCTGCCATGGCCGATTGGTCTAAGGCGCATGTCCCAGGGCGAGTGGTCCTAGTTCGGTTTCCCCCCCCCCGCGTTAGCACTTCTTGCGTGCTAAAGTGTTGACCAATATCCTACTATATATAAAAAAATAGTGTCTGTGTGTGTGCCACTTTGGATGCAACTTCCGTCAGCGTGTCCGGAGGATATCTCGAGAGGGGAGGGGTGTAAGGAGATGTTTGATACATCATTAGATGCGTAATGGTCTAGGGATGACTGCACACATCTCAGATTTTGTAAAGTATGTTGTTTTCGACATTAAAATTAGGTTTTTCGTAAAAATTCGGCCACCCACTTTGTTAGGAGAAAATTAGCATACGCCGGAAGTCGCAGTCGCCTATATAAAGGCCAAAAGGAAGCATTTTTCATTTTATTTGCCATCGGAATTGGGGCACAATTATGCAAAATAAAGAACATCATAGGATTAGACGGTGGCCAGGGTTGAAAAGTCGCGAAGCGGCTTTTCAACCCTGGTAAGATCTTATATTAGAACGGAATGTCCCTTTAAAGGGCACGTTCAGGGACGTTTTTTTGGAAAAAAGCAACGGCTTTGGCCGCGGCCGGGGGTCGAACCCGGGCCCCCCGCTCGGGAAGCGCGGATGGATACCATTCAGCCACAGCTACAACCTGGCGAGGGGATGAGGGGCGCCCCACGCCGCAAAGGAGGGGAATGGCCTGTCACAGCACGGGCAGGCAGTGCGCGCCGTCCCTACGTCCATAGGGTGTACACGTTGGGACGAGTACACGGCCCCTCCCTGAACGTGCGCTTTAAGGAGATTTTTTAGGCAGTGTGATGCGTTTTAATGCTCCGCGTAGCCCTGTTCAACCCTGATCTTGGTTATCGTTACTCACGTCATCGGTGGTGATATTCCAGGCGCCCTGCACGAGGGTACCGGCCAATCCGAGAATCGAGTCGGCCGTATCAGCGAGCTTCCTCATCTTCTCGATGCCGTCAAAGCCGGGCTGTGAAATCTTGCTCCAGATTTCCGTGTATTTTGCGTAGTCATCCGAAACTGCAAAAGGTTAATTTCGGCCGTACACTTGCAAAAAATCGACCTTTAAAAGCCTTGATCGGTATTATTACGTTAAATATTAATATTTCGCAAAATTGTAGCGCTTTTAAATGAGCGTGAACCAGACTTCTTATATGGCAGACTACTTATTAGTACCCTTAACAGCTCTAGAATGGTATCATATGGCGCAAGCGGACCCTCGACCTCCAAAAGGAGAGGTTTTTTGAGACTTTTGGCAAAATTTAGCAAGTATAGCAGGCCGTACGTGAAGACTCTTTCTTTTTAGTTTCCTTTCCTCTCGGCCGGTAGGCCTGCATGGATACAGTAGGAAAGAAACAGCTACAAGAACCAAAAAAACCAACAGTTACTGCCACAGACGCTGCTGGCGACGATGAGCAGTATCGGCGCTGCGAAACACCGGAGCTGGAATGGGCCGGTCATTTCTGTAATTTTTTACAGAGCTTGCAAAACGTAGAAAATTTATAACAATGAAGAATTGGACAGGAAAAAGCCCCTTTTGATGTTTGCCGCAGATCGCGGGGGGGGCTGAGGCGACAGAATTTTCTCATATAGCTCCAGAAATGCATTTAACGTAATAGTAAGTATTTTAATGCACTTTTTAGCAGAACTCGACTAGATTTCCGGTGGAAAACAATAAAAAAAATATTCAAGAATCGATTTCTTAGTTGAAAACCTCGTCGAAAATAGATCGAAGATCGAATAGATCGAAGATATTTTTTGTTGTGATTTTTAATCAATGGATAGGGTTTTTACACCCAGAAAAATAGTACAGAACAGTTTAGAAAGACTTGCTCTATTTGTATACAAAAATTTGGATGCTGAGTCTACGTTGCTTCCATTCTAAGCAGAAGAAAGCATCACACGTGTTTTCCTATGCAATTTGGCCGCTCAATTGGCCCTCAGTTTACGCTGTTTTGCGAGACTTGCGCCCGCCGGACACATTTGGTAAACAAGCTTTTTGCGGCGCTCCTCCCGAGGCCCCAGTTGCATCTATGACCCACGGGAAATTTGACCGCGCATTCATAACACCGCTAGTATCAAGCAGATGCTAGGATATAGCCCTTATTATTATGCGTTGTCCATACAAAAATAAGATTTTCAAACTCAGCCATAAAAGTAATTTATTCATCATGTTCATTGCAAAAGAAGGATTCATTTTCGAACCCGAACCAGACCCGCGACCCGCGACAACCACGGAATCTGCCTCACGAGCATGCAGGATCGCTGCTGCGGCAACAAGGGATGTCAGGTAGCCGGATGTGTCATGTGTGCGTTCTGTTGCTGATGAATAATTATGGCATACCCCCCTTTTTCTGACAGTATTCACTATGATTTACAGCATAGGATGGAAAACATGGAAAGTAGTGGATGTACAAATAGATTTATTCAACGCGTACAGCGTACATATACAGCAACACAAGAAAAAAAACAAAATCGAGGATCATTTTTGATGGCTGAGGCAAGGGAGCGCGTCAGAAGGGAAGAAACTAACATGAAAAACACGCCAAAATCATCGCATCGTCTTAAAAAATCATGTTACGCAACACCGCTAGACCATTAGGTGGTAGGCTCGATACTGGCATGGCCATGGAAACCAATGGTTTTCAATCAATTCTTGGGAGGCAGAGAGGGTACCATTTGTTGGGAGTTCTTCCAGAGTGGAGTTTCCGACTATCGCATGATCCTCACAGTGCATAGGGTTGTCCATTAAGAAGAAGCTCCCGGAAAACGCGTCCTGGCTCACCAGACCAATTGGTTCAAAATAACGATCGATTGCTAACCCAGCCCTGCCACTCGAAACATCCAAGCTGTTCCTGAAAAGTGGAGGAATTTCATTGGAAGCCGATAAATAGGTTCGACAAAGAGGTTTTTAGATGCAAACGGCGTTTCAGGGCAGAACCTAGCTCATTCGAAAGCGCTTGAAAAAACTAAGCATGATGCGACTTTGATTTCGGCCAAACAATAACGGTTGATTTTTACAAATAAAATTCCAAAACAGTTTTCTTTCGGTTAAATCTTACGAGGAGACGTTTTTAGTGTCCGCTGAGGTTCGAAATGGGACCAAGCCTATTGAAAAAAGAAAAATTTTTTGCTGATGAAAACTTACGTTTTAGAAGCTGCGAAACGGCCATAATTCAAAAGTTACGAAGCTGTATGTTTGAGCTCAAAACGACCAGCTTTCGCGATCTTTCGCGCTTTAAAACATCACCAGCGCTGACCCCCCGCTCCGCGGGGGTTCAGCGCTGGCCCTCCCGGGGGGAAATAAATCAACATCCCATACACCGAAATCCCGAAATCCCGAAACGCCCCGGCTCCCGGACCCGTCCGAACCGGTCCTGGGGTCCCGCAGCGATCCGGTCGGACGGGCGGGCGGGCGGGCGGACGGACGGGCGCACGGACATTAGAAATTTATATATACTCTGAATGGCTTTCTTATTACGTATTTGGTCGTTTCGCCGGTTCTCCAAACGAGGCTTCATTCAAAGAAAATTTCTGCACAAAATACGCTTGGTCCCATGCCCAAACTCGAATCGCAAAAACCGCAAAAAAGTGGCACAAATCTTGAAGTTCCCTGTCCCAAACATCACTAGCGCACCGCGGTTTCGCTCACCCCAAGGCTCTCTTGACCGCGTAGTCCTCTTCATTTAGGCGAATTTTCGCTTCCTCCACTCTACCGGAGAATGCATCGTCCCCGGAATTGAATTTGAACACGTGCACGGTCCAGCCCTCTACGTTTGTCACGTTCGCATACGTCCCGTTTATGGCGCGCACAGCATATTGCTGTTCCGGCTCCCAATCACCGGGGTGAGCCAGGGTTTGGTATTTCCATCTGAAAATACGTATTGTAAGACAAAAAGTGAAGCTTCACGATAAATTTAGATGGGGCAGGATTCGTTTTTTCAAGTTTTTTACTTTGTTCTGATTCCCCATATCGGGGTTTCATTCATTGCAAGTCGACCCGCTCATAGGTGTTCTTACGCTTTTGGCCCAGTATCTTCATGGGCTTGCCGCACTATCGATGCCGCTTCGTCGGCAGTGGCTGGCTTTTGCTTCCACAGTCGATCCTCCGCGTGCTCCGTCGGACACTCTGGCCAAGAAAGTTCCTGCAAACAACATTGATTGTCCATGGGCGTAAATCTGTCGCCTGAAATCAATTATTTCATGTCATAAATGTCATATCAAAAGGTTAAAGCTTAGTTAATCTGAACCAGTCTATGATAGCCCGGCACCGGCCACCCGCCTGGTGCTCTACACTGTGGATTGCCCCAAAAACTGAGTAGTCGCGCACCTGAACGGTGCTGGCCCAGTCAGCTGCATGCGAACTGATTTTCCGGACCCAGTCGATCGCCTCGTTTTGCCAGTCCTCAAGTCCCCCTGGAATCCCATTCATTTTAACATCCTCACACGCCGTGCCGAACAAGATCTAAAATATCATTGTTGCGGGCGTCAGAAAAAGAGCAGCATCATGGCAAAAGACTTCTCGGCGGCGGAAATAGACACTAAAACGTCAATATCTCGAGTTTTAAAGATCAGCAGCAAATTTGGACAACGAGGTTATGATCAGCGTGATCGATTCTATCTCCCTGCAAATTTTTAGCCAGTTCTGAGTCCGGGTTTATTCGGGCTCCCCTAGTAAGGCGCTTGGGGTTCAGTTTGGCGCCACGCTTTGCACCTATGATAACCTTGCATGTTTACCGATATAAGATCTTGTATTCCTCAACGAGAGAGGAATACCCCTTTAAGAATTTCTGCCCTTGACAGGTCGAACCTACCAAAGATTTCATGGTTACGATCAGCAATTCTAGCTCCTGATCCATCGACTCCCGTGTAAAACCACGATTTTGGACGGATGCCCATAGATGGCACCTGCAAAATAACTGTATCACGCTTCGTCTGTCAACTATAGGGGTCTCATAGCCCCCCCCCCCCCCCCCCGCCCCTCCGATCCGCTTATTTCCAACCGCGCTAAAATTTTAAGGAGAGTTGCTGGAATTTGCTTACGGCCACTGATACGAAGTCTTCGTGATGCCCTTCAATAATTTGGTAAACTCTTCAAACGAGGCTGGTCCCTCTGAAAAGTCACTATGTTTATCGGCGCGGAAATTCCGTCGAAACTCGGCGCTCAAGGCGAGATGCGGAGTCTGAGCGTCGTATCGCGCCTTGAGCGCGTTTGTCGAAAGAAGTAGTGGCGCAAAACGATTGTTACTAACGCTTTCCACAACATTGGCACCAAAAGGCACCCTTAGAAATGTCCGACAGCATGGTATTGGCCTCGTATTCCGGTGTTGCTCCAACAGCGTAGATGAAATCTGAGAATACAATGATTTGGAAGAATTATCATGACAAAAAAAGTTTTTTTGTGCATCGAAAATCGAGTTTTCCCCCCCGAGACCTATAATAATGACCAAGATTTCGATATTTTCAACTTTCTTCTACCGTTTTGGAAGTTTTACTATTTAAAGGGCTGCCGACGGCATGTGTCGATCCCCCCATCCACAAATTTGACAAGTAGCCAACAGGGCAGAGAGCGCGCCCTGGGGAGAGGCACAGAGGCATTTTCTTTCCAGCGCGTAACCGATTGACTATGCCGTCCGCATCCCTTTAAAGATAATCAGATCTCCCTAGAAACGATATAAAACGTCTGAACTTTTGGGATTTATAGATCATTCATACCTGCCTTCGCCTGGCTGAACTCCGTCGAAATCGATGGACGAGGTGTCGGCACTGCAAATTTATCGTATGATTTACCGACAATATTATTATATATCCAGCCGGCTGGACTTTGGGCTACCCCTGTGCACTCCCTCCCCCGCGCCGAAACGCGCGCGACCTGGCTCACTATGTAAAAAATCGTGCCAAAGTCCGTTCCCCCACTCCCCTCACTAAGAAAAACTTTCAAAGTTAAATTTAATAATTTAAACTAAGATTTTTCATAATTTTTTTATCAGTTAGGGGGTTTCTGACCACGCTCTGTCCGAATCCGAAGAGAGCTAAGCCGTAGCTCCTTTCCCTTGAAGTGAATTCGGCTTCGGACAGACAGACGCGTCAAGAAAATTATGATAGTTGATAGTTGATGATGATGATGATGATGGATCTAGTGACTCTGCTTGTGCAACATTTATTTGGATTTCTAAACCGCTAGTAAATGCTATTACAGGTTACCCAGGCCAATTTTACAAGCTTGTAAATGGGTCAAAATTCAGACGCGCGTAAAAAATTTACTCGGTCATACGACTTGGGTCAACTTACGCTTGGACTCGATCCTTCGCACCGCTTTCGTTGCAGAGATAGAGTGTAGGATTGCGGACTTCTTTGGAATCGGGCAGATGTAGACGATGAGTCGAAAAAGCTCCTAGAATGAAGGTATTTTACCATGAAGCTATCAAATTTTCGACAAGAACTCCTTACGGCCCTGTGGCGAAATCTAGACATATAACGTGGACTATTTTCATTGCATTTTACAAAGTTTCTATACAAAAAGCATAAAAAATTAGCGAAAATCTAACTTTTTGATTTTTGGTCAAAAATGCAGGAAAAATTACCGATAAAGATCAACATTTTCGTATTTCACAAATTTCAAAGTATTTTTGTGACTGGATAACAGGACAAATAACTACTGAAAAGATCATAAAAATTTGGGTTAAGGCGGAAAAATAAAACGATAGCTTCCGCCTCGAAAAACCCGATAGTATCCCATACACAATATGAATTCCGGAACCCACCCCGAATAAAAAGCTGGGGTTCTCGGCGAAGCAAAGTTCCTTGAAACGATCGCGAAAATTACTACTCTTTGGGAGTTCGAGCAGCATCTGGTATCTAAGCCCAAGCCTCGGTACAACGGAGCCGATTTTCTAAAATCCGGATATGCACTAATCTTCATTCTACGGGGGTACATTTTTGAACAAATCGAAAACTTTGAAGAGGAAAATCTCGGAACTTTTGTGGTGTCAGGGGGACATGTAAGATCTCAAAATGAAGCTCTCGGAATGCGCTATCTAACCAGTGGTAAAGAGTTTCGATCGGTTTAACTAGCCGTCGATAGGAGCGTTCGGAAATTCCGTACTTTCCAAACGCTGCGCTGCTGTTGGCGACTAGTTAAACCGATCCATATTCTTTACACTCATAACTTTGCTTAAATTGGGTATGGCTGCTAAAAATTACATCAATCGTTTCATCGCGTCGAGATCTACCAAATAAGCTAACTTGCCAAACGAAATTCGATTGCGAGCAGAGTCCGTCCCCCTTGTAAGGAGAGTACTTTCGTGATTACCGTATCCCATTCCATCCCGGCCGAATACGCCCGTTGAGCAGGGAATCCTTCGAACAGCCATTGCCGTATCGCTGCAATTATTTTAACACAACCTGTGCTAATCCGGTAACCTCTTTTGTATGTTCGAATTCACGTTTAACTTGGTTTTTAAGCGCTATCTTTAGAAAATCGGAGGACTTCATTCGCTAGGCATTGAAAATATACGAAGCGTTTTAGTTCCATCACAAAATATGGCAATAAAAATCGTTATGGCACAAAAGCTCTGCTCTAAACGCGCGTTCCGCATTGGAGAGCGGGCTCAGTCAAAACCGAGTTCTCGACATTTTCGATTGTTTTACAAATTTTCTTGATGGCCATTGGATAAAACGTTAAAAAAAGATCAGTACTTTTCTATGCAGCGCCTCAGAGCTTAATAGAAAATAGTTGTAACAAAAATAGGGAGCTTAAACGGCAATAAAACTGCGCGCCTTTTTCCAACTCGCGCTGGAAAAGTACGCTTAAACAAACCTTCCTCCTGGGTGTCGATGTCCTGCAACAGCTGATTTCTGGCTCGGACATCGTCGCTCTTCGGCTTAACCAAGCTAATTAAGAGAAGGCCGATATTGGCAAAACATGAAACTCCGTGTCACTTTTCTGCATAATTTACCGGCCGTTTAGTTAATGGGTGCTGGACTATTACTATTAGCAAGGTGCACTGATTTTTCCAGGTTGGACTATAAGGTTAGCGAACTATACTCAGTAACTATAGCATTGTAACGGCTTTTACAAAATAAAGCTTGTAGACACTTGGAAGGATTTTCGAAACTTGGATCTTTGTGATAAATTGGACGCGATTTCCGGCGTTTAAAGGGCTAGTTCCGCCAATAAAACAAAAAAAATTGCGCGGCCAAGAATCGAATCCTCTCTGCGTTTTTGTGCCTGCGCCTCTCTCATTTCTCCGATCTCTAATAGCTGCCGTAATGGAGGACTGTTCGGGCGCACTGTGCCTACGTCCATAGTGTCCCAAGGTACCAACCCAAACGCCAAAAGTTGAACTAGCCCTTTAAGCCTGGTTTTGGTGATCGTTACTCACGTCGTCGGTGGTGATATTCAAGGCGGACTGCACGAGGGTACCGGCCAATCCGAGGAACGTGTCGGCTGCATCAGCGAGCTTCCTCATCTTCGCGATGCCGTCGAAGCCGGGCTGTGAAACCTTGCTCCAGATTTCCGTGTATTTGGCGTAAGCATCCGAAACTGTAAAGTAATTTCGCAAACGTGCCTACGACAAAACGACAGTTATAAACGCTGCTCGCTGAGGGATGTTCCTGGAGGAAGCGTTTGTTTTCGAAAGATTCTGGTGCCTTTTTAAAGGGGCTCGAAAGTGGAAATCCAAGTGATGACGCGAAAACCGGAGTCCTTACGCCGAAAACCTGAGCACTCTCAAAGCTTGGGAAGCGCGTGGATTTGAAACTAGCGCCGGCGTCGCCTCCAAACTCAGGTTCTCGGCCGTTTCTGGGCTAAACTCGATGGATAAGTGTGCTTTCCAGAAATATACGGTTTAATGACCAACGGTCACAGCTATACAGTGATACCAACAGTTATTGCCGCATGCGCTGCCGGCGAAGAACAATAGTAGCGGCGCTCCGAAACACCATAACTGCCATGGCCCGGTCATTTCTGTAAAAGAACTCAGTTGCAAATTAGTGGTATTTCTCCCGACCCTGTAAGACATAAAAAATTTGCAACTTTATTGTTAGAACGAAAAAAGAAGGAGCTGGATACGAAAAGGGACCTTTTGGTGCTTTCGCAACATTGAGAGGGGTTGAATTTGCTCCGAGAGGTCCGGAAGTGCCTTTAACTTAAGAGTAAGTATTTTAATATCCCCTTTTTAGTAAAACTTGACTAGATTTCAGGTGGAATACAATCCAAAAATTTCACAGCTAATTTGTTAGTTGAAAACCTCGTCGAAAATCGACAACTTTTGGGTGAAATTTAGATTTTATTTTGTTATTTTTATTTACTAATTTAATAGAAATTTTACGTTTTGGAAAATAGTAAAAACAGTTTAGAAACGCGTCCTTAATCTGTATTAAAAAATTGCATCCGGAAAACGTTGGTTCCTTCAAAACAGAAAAAGCATCAACCGTGTTTTCCAAAAAATTTTTTTGCCGCTCAATTGGCTCTCAGTTTACATTGGGTTTCAAAATATGTGCCCACGGCGCTCATTTGGTAAACATGCACTTTCGGGCGCTCCTCGCGAAGCCCAATCTGATGACCTCGTTGATACCGACGGCCAAGTTCGATCACCTCTTTTCGACTTTTTGGCAAATAGCCATCATGGCAGAGAACATGGCCAGGGGCAACACGCAGTGACATTTTCTTCCCTCGCTTCATCGATTACTGATGACTATTTCGTTATCCCTTTAACAGACTAGAAATCTGACGGCGCATTGACAAGTCTAACGGAAGATCGCCGCGAAGCGGGTTTTTCGGAAGCATTATCCATTTAGTAGGATACAGTCCATGTTTAGTTGTCCGTACAAAAAAATAAACCTTTTCTAATCGGCCATAAAAATAATTGATTCCTCATGTTCATCGCAAAAGGAGGATTTATTTTCGAACAACGTCGAGTGAAATTCAGATCACAATATGTACAAAAGTGAGATAGTGCGGGAGAGAGGACGAGAGAGCGAGAGAGAGAGAGAGAGAGAGAGAGAGAGAGAGAGGGAGATGAGGAGCGCAATCTTGCAATTTTGGCCAGTGCAATCAGGAAATTGAGCCAAGGAATCAATAAAAATTCAGGAATTTTTTAGGGAAAGACTCGATGTAGAAGCTTTAAAAAAAGTCATATACATCAAGAAAAAGTTTAAAAATTAAAATAATACCAATGGTTCGCAACAATTCACAAATTAAAATAAAGTTCGTTGCTCCACAGTTCGGGTCACTCGGGGTGGGAAATATCAGAGTACAAAGTACACATCATACACAGTTCACACAAAAGGAATCAAAATATCGCCTAAAAGTTGTGCTTCGTAGTCGTTGGGCCAGCCGGGGGTTTAGTGCCACGTGCCGATTGGGTTTGCGTCTAAAAAGGTACATGAAGATAGGCTATCCATTCCATTTCCCTAGTTTTCTCTGCTACGTAGCTTGACATGCTTGAGCGCCCAATCCCTTTAAATAACCTGTTCCCGATTCTCCTACCTGATTTAACGTCCTTGTCGAGCCGAGCAGCTCCCGGATGCGCTTTCGCAAAGAAGTTCGCTCTGGTGCGTCACTGGACCTAGAAAAATAGGGTATTGTTGCGTAGTAGGACGTAATTTAGCGTAGTTTACTGCAGCGAACTATGCTTATAAAAATGGTTTGTAATTCAGAACTAGTCTAGTTTGTGCATATAATGCAGCGTACTGTAACGTAGCGTTGCGTAATTTTACGTAGTTTATTGCCCGATTTTCGACAGTGTGCTATAGCGTACGCTGGAGTACTGTACCGTAGTGTTGTTCAGCTTTACGCAGCCTAATCTGGCGCCGTCTGGTTTACGGCGGTGTACTGTGGCGTCGTCAGTTTATTCTGGTATCGTAGCGTGATGCAGCGTTTTGAAGTGCTGTCGCGCCGCGTAGCGTAACGTAAGGTACTACCGTGTAACCAGTTGTACCGTACAGTTTTCAACCTTTCAGCGCTGCGTAAAGACCTACCGCTCACTCTCCACTTGATGCACCGGGGTCAACGGAGGGCTGGTCGACTTCTCCTTCTCGGGCTTTTTCGTGACGAGGCTCTACAAAAAGCAGGGTTTTTTAGATTGATAATTTGGGCCAAAGAATTTCCTAAATTGTTTGAGAACAATCCTTTAGAAACTACAAAATTCAATCCACCTTTAGCCACTGCACATCGACGCCCAACGTATGCCTGCCAGCGGTTCCCCTCGCGTGCTTCTTCCTTCTTCCATTTCCATTTCCGTTTTGGGGTGGGAGCCTCTAAACCGGCAGGCTTCAGAGGTTTTTGAGGAATTATACCAACAAAAAACCCGGTTTTTGTGAACTTTTTGACCTGTAAACGTTACGCTCTGCAACCCAGTTCCCAGTCCCTTTAAAACCTACTGTAGGTATTTGCTCGTAAGGCGATGTGGCTCGCGCGATCACTGGCGATCCATCAACCATCTCGAGGCGTTCGACCGGTTTTGGCGGTTCTTGATTTTTGGGGATTGTCAACCGGACAGCAGCGTAGTCGCCGCCACGCATGGGAAGGGTTTTTGTGCACTAAAAATAAGCTTGATGAAATTAGGTATTTTTTGTTCTCGCTCCTCCCTCGCTATCTCTCTCTCTTTCTCTCTCTCGCTCTCTCTCGCTCTCTCTCTCTCTCCCTAACTCACCGATGCTCTGTCCGTCTTGCTGAAGTTCTCAAAGTGCAGTCGCACGTCCCGCTGTTCATAGCTGGTCCCAGGAGGACAAATGATATCCGGTTCTTGATCAATCGAGGATAACGTTGAAGATGAAGCTAAAAATCCGTTGAATTTATCAAAAATTAAAAAAATACCTTGACTCGACAAATCATTGCATCGGCTAACTTTGTAGGCCACAACGCTAGCATGATCGAGCTTTCCGGGCATTTCAGCAATTTTCTCGCGGACCTGAAAGAGGTACGATATGAAAGGAGAGAGGGCTAGGGAGAGAGATAGATGGAAAGAGAGAGAGAGAGAGAGAGATAGAGAGAGAGAGAGGGAGAGAGGGAGAGAGAGATAGAGAGAGAAGAGAGAGATAGAAGAAAGAGAGGGAGAATGAGAGCGAGTTATCGTACCATTTGCCTCCTCTGCCTCTGCTCAGCCTTCGTCATCTTCTCCTTCCGATAAAGTTCCGGATTCTCGAGCGTTCGACGTTTTGCTCTAAAGAAATACATATGTTTTGCTAGATTGTAGTTGTCACTGCGCCTTTAAAATTGTTTAGAACTTTGTTAACTTACTGTGATAGTAAAGTGGCGAACTGGACAAGGTTGTGACATAGCGATGAAGCCGGAACGGATGGAAACAACGGCTCATTTCGGCGAGGGGAGAGGCTAGGTGTGCCTGAAAAAAAATAGGTTACACGTCATCTTCAAGAGGTTCAGGACATGCAATCACTATAAAAGGCGCGGAGTTTGATGCGTGGTTTGATTAGTCGCGTAGTTGTCTAGACCTAGTCGATGGAAGAGGTCGATTCTATCCTTCCTAGCCCCTTAAAACAATTTTCTTACCTCGATTCCCACTCAATCCATTGGCGATCACGTCCCGCATCCTGACTAGCATCAACTCGTGTCTTTGAGCAGCATCGACACAAGGTAGCGAAGCGGCACACGTTCGATTCCGGATGTAGCCGTTCTCGCCGGTTCCGTCTTTCACCGTTCTGAAGAACGATGGTTGATCCTGGATACCTATCTCTCTCCCCCCTCTCTCTCTCTTTCTCTCTCTCTCTCTCTCTCTCTCTCGCTCTCTCTCCCTTTCTCTGTCGCGACCATTAAGACTCACACATTAATAGGCCGGTCCACTCGATCGGTTGACCTTGGTGGTAGCCCATTTGCATTCTCCTTGTTCTCCTCCTTCTTGATGACACAGAACTTGCCGACGACCGGGTCGAAGTTGTCCGAGACGCCGTCGGAAGTGATGAAGACAAGATCACCTAAAACGATAGGTTAGCAAAGATCATTTGGGAATCGAAGAGGCAGGCTAGCAGAAATCATCGAGGAACTGGAAGCAGGTTAAAAACTCACCCTCATCAACGAATGTCATGCTACAGGTGAGATTGTGGAGTTGCGGATTTCGTCCGTCGACGGGGCCAAGAGCACCACCAGCGTCTCGCATGTCGCGCATCTGGTCAATGTCGTGGGAGCCGAGGGTTACCTTAAATGGGAGATGGAGAGTGAGAGAGAGAGAGAGAGAGAGAGAGAGAGAGAGAGACAGGACGCCAAAGCGTTTGAACCTACCTCTCTAACGCCATAATTGTTGTTGTAGACAAAACAAAGCGAGTCACCGACGTTACAGACGCAGAGGACCCATCTAAACACGCAAATTTTCGGTTTGTTTTATGGATTTCCCTTATAGGCTCCTTTAAAACCCACTGTTTTGCTCCTTTGGCTGGCGCAACGACCGCGACGCATAAAGTGGTCAATTGCCCTCCCTCCTGGAGAATTAAAGAGTGAGCGGAGTGAAAAGAGGCGAGCAGTTCGTGGAATACTTCCTGAAAACGGTTACTCTTAATTTACGATAGTATTATCGGGTATTACGACAGGCTACGTTACGTTACGGTTTTATACGGTACGCTACGTTTCGCCACGTCAAGGTCCACTCGGATACGCTCGGATACACTACCCTATGGTACTCTGCGGTATCCAAAGTTGCGATACCCCAGACCACGCAAGGTTACGTTGCGGAACTCTAGGCTACGGTATCTTCAACTTACTGTGGTCGTTCGAAATCCATTATCCAGGATATGGCCATTTAGATAGTCAATAGCCCCGCGAACGGCGCATCGAGCAGCGAGTCGCGCTCCTTCTCCCCAGTTGACACCATCGGCTAGAGCCATGACCTGAAAATTTGCTTATCTCAAGTTCGCAAACGACCTCTGCTAGCTTGCCCCTCCATTCTCAAAGGATCTCTGCTAGCCTGCCCCTTTCCATTCCCAAATGAATGCTGCTAGCCTGCCCCTTCCATTCGCCAAATGATCTCTGCTAGCCTGCCCCTTCCATTCGCCAAATGATCACTGCTAGCCTGCCCCTTCCATTCCCAAATGATCTCCGTTAGCCTGCCCCTTCCATTCGCTAAATGATCACTGCTAGCCTGCCCCTTCCATTCCCAAATGATCTCTGCTAGCCTGCCCCTTCCATTCCCAAATGATCCCTGCTAGCCTGCCCCTTCCATTCGCCAAATGACCACTGCTAGCCTGCCCCTTCCATTCCCAAACGATCTCTGCTAGCCTGCCAAGTTCAAACCTGCCAGTGCTCGCCTGAAAAACCAACCGCATTATTCTTCCGCGCCACCAGGCCCCACACATCGGCAATAGGTTCACCGGCCGACACTCCAGTCAAGGGGTTCTTCTCGTACAAGGAAGTCGACATCCCAAATGCTCTCTGCTCGTCAAAGCGCGTCCAATCGTATTGGTCGGCTCGATTTGGTTGTTGAGGAGTTTCGTGCTTCTCATCCGGTCCAAAGAGAGAACTGCAGGACCCGAGGAGACACGCTGACGTCGAGCGGTTCCGGCCAAGGGGAGCCGAAATGGGCTCGTCGATGTCTGAAACAAAGAAGATTGCCTAAATCTAAGCCTAACCCCAAGCCCGAGCTAGGCCTAAGAAGCATAAGCTGAAGCCTAAGCCTAAGCCAAGTCTAAGCCCATGCTGCCCACAGTAAGAAACTACCTTACCTTCCTCCTCTCCCTCAGCCTCGCTATCACCCATCGATATTGACATCTCGTCATCGAGATTAGCGATACGGGCGATGGCTTGCTTTTTAACCTCGACAACCTGGAAAATTGGGCATTTTATGCTGTTTTAAAGGGAAGAGGAAGCTCGGAAAGTCGACCCCTTCCCTTTACTAGGTCTTGACTTTTACTAGGCACCACAAAACTGGGCACTCAGGTTTAAATCATTTGAAGTAACTGATGTGTCATGGTAAAAATTGACGGTGCTATCCTGTGTATTTTGGTGTAGCGCGTAGTTGTCTAAACCTAGTCAGCTTTGGGGGTAGATTCTGGCGCTTTCCAGTCCTTTTTTACCCACCTGCGTCAATCCACCATCCGGTCCCGTGCAGGTGGAAATGATTTGCGGGTCAAAGTCCTCGAGCACGATTTGGGGGAGTTCGAGGCCCGTTTTTCCGCAGTACACCTAAAGACATAGGTAGTCATTTAACGGATAGAAAATACACCGGATACACCAAGAAATGTCTACATAACATTTTATGGGGCATACGCGTCGCTACTAAAGCATACCTCTGGGAACTCGAGCCTTCTCCCGTCAATTCCGGCCAGAAAAGCACGGCTGTAGAACTCGGATTCCGGGCTGGTGGGGCTTTGAACGTCATCAGGAACAATCTGGAAAAGAATATTTAGAGAGCGAGAGAGAGAGAGAGAGAGAGAATGAGAGAGAGAGAGAGAGAGAGAGAGAGATACGAACCTCATCTACGGCTGCGGCATCCTCGAGACTGTGTGACGGCGAGAATTTGGTCCGCAACAGGCCGTATACCCGCTTTCTGAGGAACGAGGTGGGCATTGCCTGGAATAAAAATGATTTGGATAGCTTAAAAAATGCTTAAAACCAAGACAAATATGAAAAAAATTACCATGAAAAAGGATAAAAAAACTTGGGTAAAAGGTGAATCCTGGAAATGGAGAATGAGGGCTAAAAACGCTAAAAAATCTAGATACTTGTGATTTAAAAGGCCGTTTGCGAGGGAGCCGAACAAGGCTTGGCACAGTTTTTTCGACCCCGTTTTTTTGATGCCATCGGAAAGAGCATGTTCGAATTAGTAGGGCTGCATAGTTTTGAAAGTTCAAAAAGTTTATTTTTATGGTTTAAATGGGTGTTAAAGTTGTCGACCACGAAAAACTATCTTGGAAGTTACTGAACGGAATTGGCTGAAAATTTGGGAATATACCTATTTTGAGATTGGGATCATTTCTCTAATACATTGCGAAGCCTGAAAATGACCGGAACATGGTTAAATAGCGTACTAGAAACAGTTTTTCGAGATTTGCGACTATGCGGGCGATCGAGCGCCACTCATACGTGGTAGGAAAAGATGCGCGACATTTTTCTGCGGCGAATGACGTGTCCATTATGCGGCGCTCGGTCGCCCGCATATCTTAAAAAACGCGATTAGTACGCCGAAAATGGCGATTTTTGCGGGTTTTCGGAGGCCAAACAGGCGAGAGAGTGCGCGCGACGTGGAGGGTCCAGACAGGCAGACAGCAGCCCTGGGGGAGCGGGTCGGATGCTGCCAGAGAGCCCCCAACTTGACCACCCTAGCCGTCTCTGTCCTCTGCGCTTGCCGCACTCTCTCACCCTGCCCGCCCTAGATTTCGACTAAAAATCGCCATTTTGGGCGTAATAATCGCGATTTTTTAAGATATGCGGGCGACCGAGCGCCGCATAATGGACACGTCATTCGACGCAGAAAAATGTCGCGCATCAGCGCACGCAGCGCATGAGTGGCGCTCGATCGCCCGCATAGTCGCAAATCTCGAAAAACTGTTTCTAGTACGCTATTTAACCATGTTCCGGTCATTTTCAGGCTTCGCAATGTATTAGAGAAATGATCCCAATCTCAAAATAGCTATATTCCCAAATTTTCAGCCAATTCCGTTCAGTAAGTAAGCAAGTAAGCCGAAGTCTAAGTCTAAGCCTAAGCCTCAGCCTAAATCTTAGCCTAAGTCTAAGTCTAAGCCTAAGCCTGAGCCTAAGCCTAAGCCCAAGTCAGACCAAATGGGAAAATAGGTCCGAACGAACTCCTAGGAAACCCCCGGGCGGACGCGTCGGGTTAAGCAATGAATGAACCCCCCGGCAAAGGACCCAAAGGACCCAAAAGCACCGGAAAATGGGCGCCAAGAAGGGAAAGATGCGTAAGGGAGAAGAGCCCGATTCTGGCTCTTTTTTCAGGTCTCGCCAGGAAGAAAGGAAGAAAAGGACAAAGCCCATAGAAAGGAACATTTCGAGCCGGTGGGCCACGACTGGGCCTTAAGGGCCCTAAGGGCCCCTTAGGGCTCTGTCCGGGCCCATCCCGGTGGTGCCACCCTTGTCGCCACGTCGAAATTAGCCTCGTTTTGTTGCCGGGCCGGCTCCTCGCCTGGAGAACGACGCCGAAAACCCGGGAAAATTGGCTCACTTTGCGCGAGGTGGAGGGACGAGCGGAGCATTGTGGAATTCTTGCATCAAAATTTTGAATAGAAGGGGCAGGCTAGCATAGATAATTTGGGAATTCGGGCAATCTAGAGTAGTAATTTAGGAAATCGAACTACCAGCAGAGGTTTTTTAGGATTCCTGCACTTTTCCAGGAAGTAAACGCTTCAAAGCTTGTAAAGTTGGCCCAACCGGGGCCCAGCGTCCATTTCCGGCCAATCGACCCCATAAAAGCCTCAAAGTCAGCCAAGGGACGGGCCGTGAGGCGCTTGAAATATGGAGTCGCCGCGATTCCCCGGAGGCGATCTCTCCGTCTCTCTCTCTCTCTCTCTCTCTCTCTCTCTCTCTCTTCTAAGGGCCTCCAGAGGGGTCAGAATTCTTTTCGAACTCCTGGTGGCTAGATCCTGCACCTATGGCGCTTGCAGGCGTGAAATTGGGCGGCGCAAAATTGAATTTGGGGTGGCAACAAATCAGGGCCAGGAAAAGCAGCGGTATGACACAGAAAATGAGAGTGTTTTGGATAGGCTAGCAGAGATCATTTGAGAATGGAAGGGGCAGGCTAGCAGAGATCATTTGGGAATGGAAGGGGCAGGCTAGCAGAGATCATTTGGGAATGGAAGGGGCAGGCTAGCAGAGATCATTTGGGAATGGAAGGGGCAGGCTAGCAGAGATCATTTGAGAATGGAAGGGGCAGCCTAGCAGAGATCATTTGGGAATGAAAGCGGCAGGCTAGCGGAGATCATTTGGGAATTGAATTCTGAAATCATTGTGGTACGTGAGGATCCCTTGAGAACGGCCTTCTTAGCCGTAGAAAGGACTATTTCCGCTCTTCTCAGGCCCATTTGTCGCCTATGCGATCCGAAAAAACAACGACCATTAATTCGGGCCGAAATTGGGAACAGCTGCTTTGGTGGGAATGCAACAGTTTTACCTGGGGTTGTGAGGTAGAGAGAGAGAAAGAGAGAGAAAGATCGTGCAGACTAGCAAAGATCATTTAGGAATGACCAAACACATGCGCCCACTAGCATATTGTCAGCCCTGGATTGTGTATAATTGGTGGGCTTGCGGCAGGGTGAAGTGTCCCGTACACCAAGAGGGGCCCACCAAGCTAATCCCGCGGCTCATTAGGGCATTTCCCAAGCGAGAGAGAAAGAGAGAGAGAGAGAGAGACGGACAGCAATGAGTGACCATTGGAGAATGGGCACTCCGCGCCTATAGTGGATCACGCAATCCACTCGATGTAAGCAGCGGAATGTGGCGGAGTAGTTTATGCAAATTTTCTTGGAGCTTGGGCCGAATAGCAGTGGTTGCTGCGGAAATTCGATTCGCAATATTTTATCGATTTCAGAAAATAAAAAAATTGAGGGCCCTTGGCAACAGGGTAGAATTTCGGAAAATGGGATTCCGAGAAAAAGACCCGATTTTGTACTGGCAGGCTAGCAGCAACCATTTGAGAATACATGTGAGTAATTTGCCTTTTGCAAATTTTAGAGATTTTTGCAAATTGTATTGGCCGCTGGCAAGCTAGCAGCGACTCCTGAAGAAACTAAAAAAAAACGATCAGTTTTTCTTACTAAAATTATGGAATTTATTGGCAGTCCGCGGCAGGCTAGCAGAGATTCTTGGGGAATGCCAAGATCGGGAACGTAACTTCTTCAAAAAAAGAGGATTTCGGCTGATTTTTAGGGGCTTTTTTGGCAAGCTTGCAGCGATTTTTGTGGAAAATCAGAAGACGATCAGCTTCTGCACGATAAAAAGCTAGAATGGACAAAAAATTTTTAATGGTCGATGGCAGGCGCAGAGACTCTTTGCGAATTGAACCAGGTAGAAGTGCGTAAAATTTCATCATTAATCCGAACCGGTACTCAACCGGAAACCCAGAATTAGGCCCTGAAAATCGAGCTCAAGCCGGGTCACTAAAACGGGAAGGGGTATAGCCCTCGGGCCTTGACTAGGCCAGCTGTCCTAAAAACGCGTGGCCTGGGAAACGGACGAGCTAGAAGAGGGGAGCCGGGGCTCCGGTTTCAAGTGCCATCTTCCACCACCCCCCTAGGAAACCGCCTCGAAATTGGAATTTGGACGTGTTTTGATGTTACCAAAACATACGAATAAAATACATTTAAAGGGACTAGGAAGCGTCAGAATCAACACTTTTCATCGACTAGGTCTAGACAGCTACGCGAAGCGCCAAATCACACGCTATAATCATTTTCTTGTCCTGGAGACGTGTGTTTCGGTAAATTCCAACCCCGTCGCATTTTAATTTGTATTTTTCGTAGCTGGCTAGACCTAGTGAACGACAGTGCTCGATTTTGAATCTCCAGAGCGTCATGACGCGTATTTGCATTTTGCGCACCTGAGAATTTCCAAAAGGTCGCTGCTGGTCGACCGGGCAGTGGCAGCAAGCGAGAGAGAGAGAGAGAGAGAAACAGAGAGTCGGAGGTAGTGAGAGAGAAAGAGCGAGAGAATGAGAGCGAGAGCGGGAGAGTAAGAGAAATTTACGGTCTTCCTGGTCCCTTTAAAGTCGAAAATATGGCGATCCCCACCACCAGGAAGCGGCAGACAGCAATTTGCATAAACTCCCCCGTGGTCAGACAGGAAAGCCGCTCATCATTTTTCGCAGAAAAAAAAAAGATACATTTTTATAGCAGATTTTGCAAAAATGTACCAATCAGAAAAAGACAATTTGAAGTTGAGAAAATAACCAGACTCGTAATCCGTTTAAAAACCACAATTAGAACAGTCAGAGACCATTATTTCTCCGCCCTCGAATCCCCCAGACCGTCATTAATAATGCATCGGAATCGACGGGGAGAAATGTTTCGATTTGTCCCCATCGGCCCTTGGGGGAATGGGCGGCCACTTTACGAGGGCAAGGTCACCTATCCGACGCTTTGTGCATAATCACACCCTGCGGCGAGCGACAAAGAGGTGAGAATTTGCTGAAGGAATGGGGCAGGCTAGCAGAGATCATTTGGAAATGGAATGGGCAGGCTAGCAGAGATCATTTGGGAATGGAAGGAGCAGGCTAGCAGAGATCATTTGGGAATGGAAGGGGCAGGCTAGCAGAGATCATTTGGGAATGGAAGGGGCAGGCTAGCAGAGATCATTTGGGAATGGAAGGGGCAGGCTAGCAGAGATCATTTGGGAATGGAAGGGGCAGGCTAGCAGAGATCATTTGGAAATGGAATGGGCAGGCTAGCAGAGATCATTTGGGAATGGAATGGGCAGGCTAGCAGAGATCATTTGGAAATGGAATGGGCAGGCTAGCAGAGATCATTTGGGAATGGAAGGGACGGCCTAGCAGAGATCGTGGAGAATGGGCATCCGAAAGCGGAGCCACTTATCTCGGGATCTTCATGATTGCCATGGAG